GTTCTTAATTCTCAAACAGCTTTCCAGTGGAACATATTTCTGGAAGTCATAGGCTTGACAGTTATTTAACTCTGAACAAGAAGAGGAAAAAATTATAGGAGAAAGAAAAAGTTAATAGCAACTGATGGAGATGTTGGGCGTGCAGAAGGCTTGTAACAAATTGCTACTTATAATATATATGCTGTTATGAAATACTGCATCATTAAACTTCTGTTTAAAAATAGAACAAGTCTGGAAGTATGGTGTGCTATTTTGAATATGGGAAAAATGCAAATACTCTGGAATCACCCATTTTTTCCACTAACAACATTCTAGAATCTTAGAATCACAGAATGTTAAGTGGTTAGAATGTAAATTTTACATAGTCCTAATCTCCCCTGCAGAGACACCTCCCCCTGGACGAAGTCGCTCAAGGCCTTATTCAGCCTACCTTTGAACAGTATCAGTGTTGGGATATCCAGAACCTCTCTGGGCAACCTGTTCAGTGTCTCACCACACTCACAGTATATAATTTCTTCCTAATATCTAACCTAAATTTTCCCTTTTTCATTTGTACTTCTTACTCCTTATCTTATCATTGCAGTTCCTGATGAAGAGTCCTTCTCCAAACTTTCTTGTCAGATACTGGAAGTTGGCCATGAGGTATCCATGCAACCTTCTTTTCTCCAGGCTGAACAGCCTCAGCTTTTTCAGCCTGTCTTCATAAAGGAGGTACTTCAGTCCTCTTACAAACTTCATGACCCTCCTCTGGACTTGCTCCAACAGTTTCATGTCCTCCTGATGTTGGAGACACCAGAACTGAATGCAGTATTTCAGTTGGGATCTCACATGAGCAGAGTAGAGGAGCAGAATCATCTCCTTTGACCTGCTGGCCACATTCCTTGTGATGCAGCCCAAGGTTCAATTGGCTTTCTGGGCTGTGAGCACACACAGCTGGCTCATGTGGAGTTTTTCATCACCTGTCATCCCCAAGTCTTTCTTACCAAGGCTGCTCTCTGTCACTTCTCTGCCCAGCCCATTGGTGTGTCTGGGATTGCAGTGACCCAGGTGTAGTGTTGGCGATGAAGAGAGATGGAGTCTCCATGAAATGGTCAAAGAATCCAAATTTATTGTGAAGTACAACTGCTGATATACTTATTCTAGGAAGACTAGTAGTGTTTTACTACCAGGATTGGATTAATCATCACATAAACAAATTTATGTATTTTACAGCATCTCTTGCATTTTACGTCTCTTCCTTACAGAGTTTGATGTGATTTTCTTTTTCCAGTAAGTCAGTCTGATTTAATCTTCTTGCAATCTTGATTTAATCCTCAAAGTTCTGTTTGCTATTGCCGAGGCATCCTGTTATCAAATCTTTTATGTTAAGTCCATTATCTGTCTTAAGTGTCCCAATAGTGTAGGACCTTGCACTTTGCTTTGTTGAACTTTATAAGGTTTGCTTCTGCCGTCTGTCACACAGACTGGTGTCATCAGTGAACTTGCTGAGACACCGTGATCCCACTGTCCATGTCACCAACAAAAATGTTTTGAACAGTATCGGGCCCAGTATGGACACCTGAGGGACGCCACTCATCACTGGTCTCCATGTGGACTGTGAGCCACTGACCAAAACTCCGTGTTTGTGGCCATCCAGCCAGTTCTGTATCCACCAAGTGGTTCCACCATCAAATCCCTGTCTCTCAGGTCTGAAGACAAGGATGTCATGCAGGAGTGTGAAACACTTTGCATTTTGTCCACGTAGACAATGACAGTTGCTCTGCCCCTGTCCACCAATACTGCAGCCCTGTCATAGAAGGTCACCAAATTTGTTAGGCTGATTTTCTCCTTTTAAAACCATTTTAGCTGTTGTGAGTCACCTCTTTTTTGGCCAGGTACCTTAGCGTGGTTTCCTGTAGAATCTGCTGTGTGATCTTGCCTGGTACAGAGGTGAAACTGACTGGTCAGTAGTTCCCCATATCTTCCACTTTTCCCTTTTTAAAAATGAGGTTTATATTTCCCTTCTTCCAGTCACCAAGGACTTCACCTGATACAAGTTTTCAAAAATGATGGATAGTGGTTTGGCAACTTCATCTGCCAGCTCCGTCAGGACCCATGGATGAACTTCATTGGGTCCCATAGACTTGTGCACATTCAGGTTCCTTAGATGGTCTCGAACCTGATCCTCTCCTACAGGGGGCTCAGGATCTTCATCCTCCCAGTCCCTGCATCTGCCTTTCTTGACTTGGGTGGTGTGGCTGGAGCACTTGCCAGTGAAGACAGAGGCATGGAAGTCACTGAGAACCCCAGCCTCCTCTTTGTCCAGGGTAGCCAGGTCTCCTATTTTCTTCCCACATTATCCATAGTCTTTCTTTTGCTTGCCACATACCTTTAGAAGCTGTTCCTGTTATCCTTAGTATCCTGCAGGAGAGGTTTTGCTTTGTTGAGCACTGTTAATTACCTGAGTACAATCACACATTTAATCTCCAAAGTATTGCCATATGGCTTTCAAACCACATCCCAACAGATTAATTGCATCATCCTGATCCTCATCTTCAGCGTTTCTGTGAAGATAGCTTATGTAGTCCACTTTGCCTATTTTCTACATTTCATTTTTTTCAGAATCAAACTTTATCAAAGCCATTTGACAGGAAAATAGGAAAAGTGTGGACTGTAGGATTGAGCCATCAGCTTCTCTGATGTGTTCTGTTTTGTGTCATTTTGTTTTGGGTTTTGTTGCAGTAGTGCCTCCAACAAGGCCCATCACACTGGAGTGCTGCCAGGTCTACTGTTGCTGTGATGTCAACTTGATGGTAGATGTAGTTGCTGGAGTAATGAGAAGAACATGACCAGTTGAACACTGTACCTGTGTGTATGACCCTGTGCCAAGACAGTACTTCTTAAGACAGATGTTTTGTCTTTGCAATTGCAATATAACAAATGAAGAGAAGAAGCTAAGTGAGAAAGTTGTGACAATGGCAACTTAGATGCAGTCCAGAACAAAAAAAACATGCCACTTCCATGATAAACTCAGTGAAACTTTCTATGCTTGTCCTTTCAGAAGGCCATAGATGTTCCTTGTTATAGAGGGAATGGTGCAGACATGCTAGCTTTTTCCCCATGCCCACCCCTAGACAGAGGCAGAGCCTTCTTTTGCACCTTGATGAACAAAACAGAAATTTAGAAAGGCATTTTCCAAGGCAAGGTAGGAAGAAAAGTACATGCTGTTTGTGAAGATTCTCTAGAAAGTCAGACTGACAACTGATACATCTTGCCTTACTCAGCATCCTCCAGTCTTGGAATTAGCCAATTCTGTGTGTAACAAGGCTTTTACAAGGATGTTAGCCATACCATCAAGTTGATGGACTTGAGCTGTATTCCTGTAGTGATACCCCCTAAATATGATAGGAGGAACACAGCTGGTGGGATGTGCACCAGCTGCCTGCACTGCTAGTCATGCACTGGTGTCTGATCTTGAAATGTAGCAACTCATCATAGCCAGTCTGTGGCAAGTGAAAATACTTCTGGAGCACATAAGTCAAGGACAATTGGTTTAAATTCCCAGTGAACTTCCCTGCAAACAACACACCATAGAAAGACCACTTTGTGATAGGCAGTAATTGCAGTATTTCCAGGTGCTATTTTGTGGTGAGACCAAGAATTACATATTCTGCACACAAGAAAGCAGGAAAGTAAATGGGCAGGACAATTTTCCCAACTCGTCAGGCAACTATGGCAGTGTTCAGTTGTCATCAACCTTGATTATAAAAAAGCTTCTAGAAAATATGATTTGGGCATATGCTATTTTCAAAGTGGATGAGAGAAAAGCTTCCTTTCTCTGAGCTGGAATTTACTTTGTGTGTGAAAGATTATGGGGGAAAAAACTTTCCAAAGGGTGCAAAAGGACCTTGGTTTATTTGCTGTAGAATAGCCCATATGGGCGGTGTGTTTTTTTATACTTATTATGTACTTTTAATGCAATTCCAACTGCCATAGCATATATAAGGATCTGTAATACTTCAGACACAGTTGTGTAGCATCTAATGTGGTCCCACAACTTCAGTGCTCTTCCAATGACGCTTTATTTTTACACAAACATATGATGGATTTCTTTTATCATGCTCAGAACCGCAGGAGTCATCTAAGTTGTGGTTCAATCCATTAAATATTTTATGAGAATAAGAAAAAAGTTCTTAAAAGTGTGAGAGACTTACCTGTGTGAAGATCCTTCAGTGATTCTTGAAATGATGAGCTGTTTGTTACAGAGGGTGAAATCAGGATCATGGTACGTAAGAAGTTTCTTGGTACCTGAATATAATTGAATTTGGTTTTGCATGCAAGAGGATATGCATCAGGCTATCCAAATGATGTTGTAAATTAGTCTTCCATACCTCAGGTGTGGATAGCTGTTTAATCTAAGTAAACAGTAGCAGATACTCTCTAAACCTGCCAAAGTATTTTTGGATAGGGAAGAGAAAATTTATTGTATTGGGATGATTTTCAGGCTTTTCTCTATATTTGTATAAGAACAAGTAATCCTGTGTTGCACTTCAAGACCTTCTAATACTCACTCTGAGTACAGTATTAAAACCAAAAATGAAGGTAAGAGAAGGAGTTTGAAGAAACAAATAATTTCAAGCCTAGCCATCAGACCAAACTAGAAAAATTTCCAGTTGCCCTGATGACTGTGTGGTCACCATATTTTATCCAAAATTTTGATGGCAGGAACTAATAGCCATGGTGCGCAGGCACAGATGCTTCAGATCTGGGAGCCTGACACTTCATGGGAGTTCCAGAGCCCTGAGGCAGGTAACTGTAAAAGAAAAGTCAAAATTTTGGAGTTAGGCAGAAGTCTGGAAAGAAGGCTGTCGTTTGGCTTTGTCATAGAAATATATATTCTTTGAGGATTTTTTGATTCATGCAACTAAACATTACTCAGTTGTTAACAAGTAAATCTTTCAAAGTGCATGTCATTGTTGATGTAACTTTAAAAGTATTTTTTCCTTGTTCTCTTTCTCTAGAGCCCAGTGAAGATAAATCAGATCAGCCTGGATGAAAGTGGAGAACACATGGGTGTTTGCTCAGAAGATGGGAAGGTACAACAAATCTCTTTATATATTTGCTGAGATAGCAGGTTGTTCAGGTAGTCCTAGTATTACACTAGGATAATTGTGATAACTTGTACATAGTGCATCACTACTCCAACCATATCTTTTGAGAACTGAACTCACCCTTGAATACTCAAAATTAAAGTCAAATATATTTTGCACAAATATGCTGTAGGAAAAGTAATTACAAGAATGTCAATAATGTAACTGCTATTAAGCTGATTAACAGCTGTGACAGGAGGACATGTCAACTTAATCATTACTGCTGTGCCAGTTATACTTCATTGACTACTCTGCTGTTCCTGCAAGACAGTAGTTTAATGCCTCTCTGCTATAAATCCACAAAATTGGATTTTGTGGACATGATTTCTGTGGGATGGTGGTTTTCATTTTCACACACTTTATGAATGTTTCTCTTGAATTGCAGAATCTTTTGATAAACAATCATAGTTTAACAGAAGAACAAAGTGTCTTACAACAGCCACATTAAATAAATGTAAAATCAATATATGTACAGTTTCCTAAAAAACTGACACCTACTTCCTTGAGTGAGGACATATATCATTTGTGCAGTGTGTAAGTAACAATTATCAGTGCTTCTCAGGAATGTTGAGCTGTGACATTTAGTGGTTTTGGTGATTGATTTTCCAGTTATAAGAATGTCTTTTTGTTTTTTCAGTGGATGACAGTATTTTCTAATGTTGGTTTGCAATGATAAAATTCTAATGCACAGTTTTCATATGGTGCCCGTATGCAAATGAAATGCATTAAAAGTAATTTAAATGATTTCTCAATATCCCGTTTACTTCTCAGGAGAACATTTCTTACACAGTAGACATGGGGGAGGAGGAGTGTTGGTAATCCTAATGTTGCATTCAGTTGAAGTTCTTTAAATTAAAATACAGCTGAAATTTGCAGTAGGAAAAATGGGGAAACAGCCCCTTTAGACTGCATGCATTTGGGTTTTTTCCTTACAAATAGAGGTTTTTTTCACTCAACAGGCAGGCAGAGAGTTTGTGTATCCAGGCCTCTTATTTCTGAGAGATATCTTGATGTCAGTATCTTGGCACAGTAATTAGGATACTAGTGCCTATTAAAGTGGTTGTAGAATTTTACATCCTATGTGAAACACCACAAGAGTATCGTATTTGTCTAAGCAAGATAAGGCAAGGGTGAGAAATTGTGCAAGCTAATAAAAATGTTGAGCTAGCACTGTTGGTTTAGGTTTTCCTATGGTGTATGGGATCAAGCACTTACTGTAAGGGCTCCTTAGATGTGACTGTAGATGACTGTCAGTGATCCACTATGCTGCAGTGAGACTGCAAGCCATACACATTTTTTTTGTTTACAAAGCTAATATTAAATATACTTATTTCATTTCAGAAATACCGAAAAACCCATAATCACTACTCTGGTGTGGCTCTATTTGAAAATACTTCAATACTTTAAATAGTAACTCTGTCTTCATTTAGTGAAATAGCAGTTGTGGATCCAGTGTGTGACATTACATACTATACAAGGCAAAGTAAAATACAGTCTCACAGCCACAGGGATGGAGTATCACAGGTACAATATTCAGCATATTTGCATTCATAGAGTCCAGGGACATTGGTGCTTCACCATATTCTACACTTGTGAAAAATTCATCTGGAGATTTAAAAGATCTGGGTATTTTAGAAGTTAGATTTTCCACATGATCCAGAAAGGCTTCTGTCTGTGAAATAATCAACCCTTAAAATTGATTAAAATAAATAGTTTTTATATTGTGCTACTGTATAAGAAAATTTTAATGTATAAAAAAAATCTTCTTACTGAATAAGAAGATTCCTGGCCAAATAATGTAGCACTTATAGATTCTGGTCATAACAAAAGTGTAACTTTCATTCCTTATACCTCTTTCCTTACTACAGTGGGAGTGTTGATATTGTAAGCAGTTAAAATACTTATACAAGTAGTTACAAAGTCTTCATTAATTTGATTAAATATGTAAAAGTGGTGAAATCCCTTTTTTAAGAAAACAAGGGGAAAAAAAACAGTAAACAGGTACAGTAAAACAGTTTTCTTAAATCAGTTTCAAACAAATAAGCAGATGTAATGAAGAGACCTGGGAATTTTGAGTCAGCTGCAAGTATACTCTAACAGTAATAATTAGTAATTAATGAAGCTTAGTAATTAATGAAGATATGTTCTATTTTGCTATAAGCAGAGTGCATTTTCATATATCAAAGTGGATCCAATATAACAGAGATAGAAACCATTTATTTTCTTGCAGGAAGGCTTTATGATGAGAACCTCCTCCTCCTCATATCTGTTCTGCTGGCCAATATATTTCTGACTCTCAAACTAGATTTGATCTAGCTGTATAGACTTGGGGGGAGAGTACAGAAGCACAGTACAATTTTCTAACCCTCTTCTTGACAGTCAACATCCAAACCCAGTGTCAAAACCTGTTGCATGTATGTCATACACGTCCAACAAATGCTTTGGGAGCCACTTGCAGCTTTTATGTACTACACATTTGATTCTTTGCAAATCTTCCTTTCTAATGAAGTCAGCTGCAGCTGGTCACCACTGGCATGGAAAGGAGCAGAAATCATAACCAACACCAGCCCTCTATTATAGCTGCTGGGTATTGAAATGTTAGGGTATAAGTGAATTTTGGTGCTCAAATAAATAGAACAGGAATCAGCCTGGCATCCTCAGAATTCTGGAGATTTGTAGGTTAGTTTTTTGTGTTAGTTTTGTATATAGTTAATTTTATACTGTCTTGAAAAACCTGGATATGACTCTCGATTTTGCTAAAGCTTCCATATCATTACATAAGAAGAGTGTAATTGGCACTCTTATTCTGGCTTGTAACTTTCTTTATATGAAGAAATACAAAGTATATTGAAAACCCATGTATTTGTGTGTTTTAGTGTCATCTCTAATGCCTGTGACGATATTGATGTTAAGAATATCTGTGAATTACATTGATATTACATTGATAATTTTTCAAGAAATGTGACTTGTTTTCCTGCCTTTTGATCACTGAAGGTTGCTTACTTTTTCCACATGTGGAAGCAAAGAAGCAGCTAAGTCTGGATGCACTGGAGTGGTGGCTTCTGGATATTTAAAATCAGACAGGACTAGCAAAATGTAGAGGAATTGTAAAATCCTTTTTTCAGCTGCCTATCATGAGCAGAGTGGTCATGGAAAGTAGAAATAGATAAATCCAATATAGGTTTGTAATAGCAAAAGAATCACTTTCTTTCTCGAGAATATGAGACATTAAGAACTGCTAGATGCTATCCCTAGAGTGATAACATTTATTTTTTGTGGAATTGTTTTTTCCTCTTAGCTCACTCCATGTTGTTGTCGTACTCCAAAAGAAATATCATACTGCCATATTCAGTGATATGTTAGGAAAATGTTGAAGGCACTGTTGCTAATTTTAATTAATTACTTTTAATTTGAGAGGGCTGTTTTGTAATTTTTGCGGATTCTGCTTTCACTGAATTTGCAGTGTTATGTTTTAACCATGTATTTTTTTTTTCCCCTCCTTTCTTTTTTCTGTCTTATTTTCTCTTTCCTCTGTTTCTTACTTTGTGTAGGCTATTGTATTGAATATGATGTGCCAACTGATGAAAACAAAAACCCAGAAAGCAAAATCCTCTAGACATCAGCCCAAAGGTTTTCTAGGCTTACAGCCAGGTCCAATTCAAATACAACCCTTTGCCTGGCTTACATAATCACAGCTTTGTGATACATCTCATAGTCTTCAAATATTGATTTTTCTAATCTATTGGAGCAGTAGCTCAGCCCTACACAGTGCATGCAGAAGTATTTTTAAAGTGTGTTGTTAGAGGCAGTATATTCACTAATGAATAATGGACTGAGCTGATAATGCTGCTTAGGAGATTTATCCAGGAGACAAGCTTGAAAAGAAAATGAGATGGTTAGAGATGTTTTTAACTTCACTGAGACTGCTGAACTTTGAGCTACTCTAAGGATGTCCTAGTTCCTTGCTGATGGCTTAGTTCCTCTTGTAGTTTCTCTGAAACGTAATATTTTTACTCTGTCTTCTTGAAGGTCTGCAGGAGTTTTGGGTGTTCTTAGACACCAGGAATTGTGGGTGTTCTTGGGCTCTAATTTGATCTTTTTAGAACAATTATGCCTCACTTTTTGTAGCCCATTACTGATATTTACTGACTTTATTCTTCAGGTCTTTCTCTAAAAGGATTTCTATTTTCTCATTACTATTATTTTTTTATTTCCCCCCTCAAAGGAATCATGATGGGAAGAAAGGAATAAGGTTAAAAGATCTTTTAGAATTATTGAATTCAATGCTGGACATGCAGTGTAGAGTTACTGAAGGGATTGCCTTTTCCAGGAAATTTTCCACAAAATAATGAGAGCCTATCTGAGAGCATTCTTAGGTAGAATTGCTGTCAGATACATTTCCTCACTGATCACTCCATGGGATGCTCTATTTTCTCCCTTCCTTCAGTGGTGTCCATCCCTCCTTGGATGAGTTTGTTTCAACAACTTCTGATAGTGGGTGGAAACCATAATGAAAAAGCAAAACATTTATTATTATTTCTGGAAAGCATAGTTAGTAAATGAGTTACTAACTCCTGGCCATAAGTCTTCACCCCCATTTTATTCCTAAATTCTGCAGGAACTGGGTGGTCAACTGTCTCATCTGAGAGTAAGGAAAAGAAGTATTGTTTATTGAATGAGGAGATATGAGTCCAAAGAGGGCTGTACTTAAAATAATCTGGAGGTACCTTATTCTGTAGTCATATCATCTAATAATATTTCATTTACACTTGATATCTCTGTACTTGTTCTGAACTTAAGGCAAGGAAACATTTTAAAAATCTGTTAATTCTCTTGACAGTAGAAACTTTTTTAAAAATAATTCTTCAGATGGATTGATTCTGATAGATATTCTGATTGGTGATTGGTGCAACTCCTTTGCTGACTCTTTAAGGTACTGGTACCTTGATATAAAGGAGAAGGGAGGAATCTTTAGAGAAAGACATTTCCAGTGATCATGGAATAAAACAAAATAGCACTGTATGCACTTGGGAGAAGGAGAGGATGCCTAGAAATATATGGAACTTGGATTTCAAGCTGGTTTTGCTTTATTGTCACAAATTTCTTTTCTTATGTAAACCCTGTATTGCTAGAAGGGGAAAAAAAGTCCTGCCATTCTTTCTCAGAAAGGAGGAATTTTTAATTTATTTTCTCCTGAATGTTATTCTGTTGCTCTTACCATAGTTAGGTTGCTATCTGTTAAACAGATTTGATCAGCTTAAAGCAAAAGGATTTTTTTTTTACTGTGATTGTAACAAAAAAAAAGGAGTAAAAATATTAATAAAAGCACTTCTGTACTGCTGCAAATATTAGAGGTATGTCACAGTAGAAGACCAAGCCATATCAATTGTTAATTGTGTCTTCCTTTAGGAAATAAGGTGTCACTGTTAGCATTCAAATTAATCTTTGAGTTGTTAGGTTTTTACTTTCAGTATTAATTGTTCAGTGTAAATCAGGTAAATAATTTTGGTTTTCAATATACTTTTTCAGGTACAAGTGTTTGGATTATATTCAGCAGAAGAGTTTCATGAAACGTTTGACTGTCCTATTAAAGTAAGTGCTTGTTTTAATCTTTAGTAATTGTGGTGGTGTTGTCTTTAATAACAGAAAGGTCACATTCAATATAAATGAGAGAGAGGAATACCACTTCCTTACAGTGTTATTCAAGTCACTAGGAGGTAGTTTTCTATCTCAATATAAAAGCTTTTGATCTGGTTAGGTAGGAAGAAAGCCAATCATGGTTTTGTATGAAGTATTATTGAGTTTTTCAAATACAAAAGGAAAGTGGAAGAGAAATTGTCCTGTTTCAGGTGTTGCCCATCTCAGCATATTTCTTTGTAGATTTTTGATACAAATTCTGAGAGTTCTGCTAAATGGGAGGTCAGTATTTTGCAAACAGTTCATATCCATTAAACCTGCCTCAAAATGAGGCAATGGGCAGTGATATTGATGTACCCTATCTGAAGGGGAAACCTGAATTTAACTCTGCTTTAGAGAAGTGTGTCTGCCTGACTGTTGGAAAAAGGATGTCTACTAGGCATATGGGAAAATCAGTCCTTCTTAACAAGAAACATTTCTTGTAGGAGGAAAGGTGATGTGGGCAAATGTTTGCATTTTGCTGCTTGGAGTCTTCCATGTTGCTGCTGTTCTTTAGGGTGTGGGGGAAAGGAATGAGATCGTTAAGTTTTCACACATGCTAGATGTGACTCACTTGCCTTCTAGGGTCTTTACTGCTCATACAGCTGGATCTCCACACTTGACATTGTAACACATAAGGCAAAGAAACTGTGTAAGATGCTACACAATGTTGTCCTCTGACAGGGCTAAGGTATGTGTGCCCTTCAGGCAGGCCCCAGACAGATTTAATTGGGGTAACACTTGCTCATAGCAGTTCTGTTCTGATTGTTCCTAATCCTGCAGCCTGCTATACAGAAAAGTAGCTGTTTAGTGTTACATGGCACTCAGTGTCATGCTTGTCATACAGCATATAATATGAAGAATTATCTTCTAAGAAAAACAACCAAGTGTCTGAAATACTAGGCTTTACTTCAGAGAAGAGCTCAGCTGTAATACTTGATAATTGACAAAGGGTTATCTAGTTTAAAAAAGTGATGTGGTGCTTCATGTAAACTCTTATTTAAGCCACAGTTCTCTCTTTGCTTCTTCCCCTACCATCCCCAGATTGTTGCTGTTCATCCTCAATTTGTAAGATCCCACTTCAAGCAATTTGTAACAGGAGGAAAAAAGGTAAGCATTCACAATGAACTTTGGCTACCTTTAAATAGCCCTTTGATATAGCTCAGAAGGCTATGCATGTGACTTTTAACACCTAGAACAAAGACTTCTTCTTTTTCCTTCTCTTTATGCATTGTATTCTAAACCATTGTTAATTAAAAGTTATTTAAATTAATTAATTGTTAATTGTTAATTAAAAGTGATTTCAGGGGGAGAGAAAGTGCAATTTTTGTGTTAAAAGCATGTTGCAAAAAGTTGAGATTCAGAGTAGAAATACCATTCTGTCTAGATAGCCTGAAAAACAAGTAATTGATATGTCCTGGGCCAGATTTTCTCCATTTTAATTTGTTGAAGTTAGACTCTAAAACTGATCTTTTACAAAGCATGTTGATGTTTGGTTACCTGTGGGTGATTTTTTGGGGTGGGGTTTTGTTTGTTTGTTTGGTGTTTTATTTTAAGGAAATAAACCCAAGTATCTTCATCAGCTCTTGTCCATGGTGAGGAGTTTTGTTGGTATTTTTAAAATTAACTAAGGGGAATTCTTGGTATAGTACAGCTCACCCCATTCCAAGCACTTACATCTCTGGGTAGTCTTCTATTTGGATTCAGTTGGTGTTTTAAATGTGCATTAAGTATCTTACTAGTGTAGGATACAATTCTGACTTCCAGATTGCAGCTGTTTCCAGGTCCTACAAGTGTCTTTTATCACATTGCATATTTTCAGTCAAAATATGAAAAGTTTTATTTGGAATGGTTTCTTGAATTCATGGAATTTTCTGTTGCCTTTTGTTAAGAATTAAGGAACAGTCCTCACAGATGCATTAAACCAAATTCCATTGCTCTCTCTTACCAGCACGTAAACACTACAGGCTTCTAGTGCTGAATGCATCTTAATTTCCACTAACAGTTCAGTAATAGGTTTCAAAGCATAGCTGTGCTTCATTTATTTAAGTGGTGTGTGCTTGACAGATTTTTCTGGCTGGTAGAAGTTGGTGTTGTCCTTAAAATAATGCACAGTCAGTGTGCGTCTGTGTCAGCCACCAGTTTGTGAAGCTTTTTAGTGCCGATAAAAGGGGCATGGAAGGAGAGAAGCAAGGAATTAATAGAACAGGGCTCCGTCAGGTGGTAAAAGATCTTACATTCATCTGATGCCGAACAGAAAAAAACATCAGGGAGTTAACACATTCTCTTTGGTTATCTTTGATTACTTGACAGGTTGTTTTATATTCTGTCCTCTGGGGAATGGTATACTCATTCTTAATACATTCATGCTTTGCTGAGGAACTTTCCTCCTCAGAAAAACTTTAATTGACATCTTAACATAAGGTATTTAGCATTGAAGCAAATGTCACTTGACACCTGTAATTTGATTTTATTGGTACAGAAAACCAACAAATAAAGCCTCCAGCCTTGCAAGAGAAGCCTTTCCTTCAAAAGGAGCATATGTATTCCTATAAAAGCAACAACAAAATGCCTTTTGAAAATTCAGGAAGCTAAATTCCACCTAGTAATAAAGCACTTTTTTTTTTCTTTTTTTTTTTTTTTTTTACATTTACACCTCTCCTTAACTATAAAGCCAAAGTGTAGTATGGAGGCAGCAGACAACAGGCAGCTGACACAAGAGTGAGGAGAAGCTGGCTGAAGCATACAGCCTCAGGCTGTGGACTTCACTACTCTCTCCCTGTGTCTGGGGGATTGTGCCTACTTAAGCAAAGTTAAGCAATCAAGGTGAGCTCCTTCAGGGAAGGGGACAGGTCCTCCTGTGACTCCTGAGGTCTTTGCACTTTTAGCCTTTGCATTTATACAGTGACTTCATCCCTGATAGCTGGCAGTGGTGGGAAGCATGTTGCCTGTTTTCCTCATCTACACCAAGGTAACAGTAAGAGTATCTTCATTTTGGAGAAAAGGTAAAAGAAAAGCTTTGCTTAAAGCTCTAATGCTATGCTCATTGCCTGAAGTGCATTAAAAAACATAGTATGTATCATGTGAACTCTTAATCCAAAGGCTTGCTAGGTCTGTTTTTGTTTTTGTTTTCTGGGAATGTTGGCATAATGTATGTAAGCATTTTTAAAGTGGAGTGGGGTTTTTTGTTTGCTTTGCCTTTATTTTTTTAGAAAAATAATCTTCATAACAATATTAAATGTGTGAAAAATACATTTTTCAGTTCAAAGATTCGCTCAGGGCATCCTGGAAATGTTCAAGAGACAAAAAGGGGGAAAAGACCCTAGTGACATGCTTCAGGAGTACACAGTGCAGGTCCTCAGTTCCCTACACAGGTGGATGTCTGGAATTTGGGTGAATTGCTGTGTAGTGCTGGGATTTGCTACATCTTAGAAGATCAGCCTGACCTAAAGTTGACTTCAGAGCAGTGCTCCCTGGGGTAACTGGGGTAATCATTGTGAATTGTTGTAAGCTTAGCTCTACTGTGCGTATGTTTATATGGTTGCTTAACTTTGCTTAAGTAGGCATATAGAGAAGCTTTTCTCTAAAATGTATTATGAACTAATTAAATTGTTTGCTCATTAAAGTATAAATTTTAAAAGAAAATAACTTATATTAAACTTGATATCATATTTTGGGTTGGTAAAGCTTATTTCACCCATTTTCCTGAGTGAATTAATATCTGTGCCTAGAAATAAGACCAGTACTGTGGAAATTGACACTATTGCAGTGAGAAGCAATAGGTGCCATATTAAAAGGAGGTGCTTCCCTATTCCCTTCCTCATCTCTGCAATTAACCACAGCACCATTGTGCTGATTTGGCAGATGATGGTAGCCCTGAAATAATAATACTGTATACTGTAAATAATAGGGCATTTCTGTCCAGAGCAGACAATAGAGCTTCAAAGCAAGGGAAAAAACAAATACTGTGCTATTGAAGGCCATAACCTTCTACCTTTTAAAAAAGGCTCTAATCTCAAAAAATAACAGGGTAAAAGCCAACTAAATGAGGGTGGTAAAGCTGAAAACAAGGTGTTCTTGATTTAACTCTTAGAGTGCTGGTCTTTAGTAAAACATCAACTAAATAAACGTTTTTGTGAAGTCCAAGTATCCGTTATGTCATGAGGGTTAAACAGACAGGACTAACAAAGAAAGAAGACTGAAGATTATTTCAGATGGAAAGTCAAGGTATCAGCTACTGTGACTTATGTAAAGATAAGGAGAGCAGGACAAGCTGAGATTCCTCTCTTGGCAGAGACATCATCCCTATTAACGTCAATAACTAGATGCAAAGGTTTTTGTAGTGAAACTCTGAGGAGAGTGAGTCCTCTGAAGTGATTGAGTCACTCTGCTGATTGTGTGCTAATGAAGGGGTTTTTTGAGTCTTCTCTAGCATGGTAGTGGGGACCCAGCACAAATTAAGCAAATGTATTTTGAAGTATAGGAGGAGAATATTCTGTAGCATAAAGGACTGGGTCTCCTCATTTGCCTAGGACATACATTTTGTATAATAAGTATTGATTTGCATATCCAGTCGGAAACATTTTAAGGGCTACAGAACCAAAATAAAATTGCAGATTTACCCTGTGACTGTCAACAGTCTCATCTATCTGTGTCTATATCTACATAATATATTAATGGGTTTTTATATATATATATATCTGTTGGAAATATATATAAAAAGGTTTTTAGTAATGTCTGTGTTTCTTTTGCTGCAGAACATACACAATAAGAACTGGTTTTCAAATACAGATGTGTCTGATCACATTTGTCCCATTTATTCTCCCAGAATTAACATTTAAACATATCAATGCTTGTGTTTAAACATTAGACTTTTTTCTTTTATAAAAGCAGAGAGAACTTAGTGTTACCTGGGGGAAATTTCTTATTAAAAAAAAAAACAAAAAAAACCAAGCAAAAAACAACCAAACAAAAAACCCTATTTCAGTGTCAGAACTCTGCACCCATGGTAACTCTTGCCTGCAATGCAAAACAAGACAATCTAAATTTATTTCCACTCCAGGTGGATCAACAACATACACAGAGAAAGCATGGTGATAGCAAACAGTGCACAAGTGGGAAGAGAAAAGCATGGTTGGGGATCTGTGACTGCTGTTAGGCGTAGTGGAATCTGTGTGTTAAAGTCAAATCTGCCAAGGAATATCTCAGATATTTTTTTAATTGTTGCTTTTTAGCATCAGCAGATGCACTTTGCATGGTGAGTAAGTAGATGACCTTACCTCTGAACCCTATGATATGTACTTCATAATAACTGAAGTACTTTGACAAATTATTAAATTGTCAGGATGCTGTTTGCAGCACAGTCCATTTTTAGAAAGCAGATAGTCAGCTGTTTGGCATTATGTTGGGTAGAGGAGTACCAGACAAGAAAGGCAGATTGCTTTGTAAGCTATAAAATGTCACTCAGTAAATACTCAAAGGTCTGATTTAAGTGAAGAAGGAGTAAATACTGTGGCAATTTCTGTCCATGCATTGGATAATTTACCATAAGTAGGAAACAAACTGTAGCAGCAAGCAAACCATAATACTGCTGGTCTGTTATTTCCTTGCTGCAAAGCATAATGCCCAGATGTGTCCCATATTATTGAGCAGATGAGACTTTGATATGTAGTATGTCCTGTTTGCTTAATAAGCATATTTTTTTTGCTTACATTTCTTCTTTATAGGTATTTGGATAAGTGTTTCTTCTTTATTGCTAAAACAAAAATTCTTCTTGTGCTGTAATAAATTTGGTTTGTGTAAAGCAAATGGATCATAGTCCTATGTGCATGTAATCTATAGTTGTGTGTTTTACAAATGTCTGTGTAGAAATCTTTTTTCATTGCCTGAGGTGGCAAGCAAAGAGGATCTAAGTGTATGAAATGTGTCTCTCTCCCTGCAAGACAGCAGGATTTGCTTTTCAGGATGTTAATTCTTTAGCTTTTTGTGAATAGGCAACAGCTGGAATGTGGCAGTTGAGTTATTAAAAGTGAAGCCTAATAAAAGTCCTGTGGCATTTGTTTGTATTAAACATCTCAAAATTTCTAGCTTCTCTGACCATGAACTACAGCAGTAGCTCCTGTTTCATCTCTCACTGCTGCCATCATATACCTCCCGATGCTGCTGTGTGCCTCTGCCTCCTTGCTTGATTTCCCTTGACTGCATTTGCTGCCCTCCTCTCTGTTCACACCCCAGCTCCCTACACAACATTTTATGACGAAATCTTGAAAGCTCATCTTCAGCTGAAGGCTTGAGGCTTACATTATTCTCTGCCTTGTTTGAGCTCATTCCATTCCCATTGTCTGTTTCAAAGTATAATTTTTTATTGTTCCTGTATGTTTTCCTAAGGATGAACAGTAAGTCTTCATGTGGCATGCTGTTCTGTGTTACTCTCTGGTATCTGTTAATCTTGGCTGTGCCTGTAAATATATGTTTTATGCTGAAAACAATAAATAGCTGTAGTGATCACTTGTAACCATGGAAATAGCATTTTAGATTTTTGTGGTCTTGCCTAGCTGAGGTGACAGTGGTGACAGAGGAACCAAAATACAGGGCAAATGCCAAAGGTAGGCTCATCTTCAGTCTTAGACAAAGAGCAAGACAAGGAAATTACAGGCACTTTTTTCCTAATTTTCATTTCGTGAAATAAAAACTGATCCAAGAGTTCTGTAATAGGGAATGGAAAAGTGGCTCTTCAGTTACAAGAAGACTTAAGCCTTTTTTCTTCACTAAAACTTCTTCAAATCTTTACACAGAAGGCACTGTGTTGAAATAAAGTAGTGATGCTAGGCATCAAGTAAAAATGTGTTTCCTTTGAAATTTCTGTGAGAACAGATATCTTTTATTTTAGTATATTGAAACTAGTAATTGGTAGTGAGAATAAATGAAATTGGATTACTTCACCATGTTGATACTACCAAAGTTGCAATCATTCACCTCTTTGTTCAGAGGATTGGGAGTTCCTGTACATAGTTTAAGACCAGGATTACATGTAATTAGTGTTAATGCTAATTGCATGGCAGACTCCATTAAGTCCAAGCACTCATCTATTCTCTTTTGTGAATGTGCTCTAAAATAGTTTTGAGCTCTTTTTGGTGTAGATTTAATCTCCTGTTAGTGAAAGATATGGAGAGATGTATTCACTAACCCAAAATGGGTATTCATGTATTCACTAATCCACCTATTTTTTAAAACCAAAAAGTGTCCTGCTCCATCCTCTTGTCTCAAACACTGTGTGCCATTTTTCTTAATGATCTGGTGGGCAGTTATAAGCAGTTAAGAAGACTCTCAAAATAATTAATGAGCGAACAGAAGATTGCAATGTGCTGTGAAACTGTGGGTGGGGACCTTGAAACTGGAGATTATTTTATTTTAGCTGTATTATCAAATTGCGGTGCATGCAAGATACACTGGAAGAGTGTTCTAAGCACAACTATTGTATGTAACAAAGGACTAGAAAGTTTTATGAAAGCAAATGAAAAACAGGGAGAGCAAACTCTATTGCAGAGAAGCCAAGAAAGTGTGATTTTGGCTGCTGTTGAAATATAAGTACTGTGAATGCTGACTACCATAACATAGGGTTTATGGCAAACAAAGTCTGAAAATATTTTTCCCCTACCAAAAAAAAAGGGAGGGGGTAGGAAGAACCCCTCCAGAAATTGTGGATTTCTTCTTACAAGTTTTTTAAAGTTTTAAATTACCTTCTAGTATGATCAACATTTCAATGTGGAGATGGAAAGGAAGACTAAGAAAGAAATTAGGCTGCTTATTTTGAGAGAGATGCTTTCAGTAGACAACAGTTCCAAAACAAATGGAAAAGTTCTGTGTTCACAAATTCAATTTCCAGGTGTCATTGCTCTAGGAAATAATAAATAAATCACAGTATGTATATCAACAGCACACAGATAATTGCACTGAAGATAATTTAGTTAAGCATGTTTTGAGATTGCTTTTTTTTTTTTTAAGTGACAGTGTGAAGTGCCCTTTGGCCTCCATGTTTGACCTATTTCAGTTGCTGATCTGAAGAGGGGAATGATAGGGTGTTCCATGATTCAATTTCCATCTGTATTATAGGTGATACCAGGCTGTTGTCTTCTACTGCTTTGATCTGAAAATTTGTGTTCTTAGGGGTGAGCATAGATGTAAGCAGGATTTTTCAAATTATCTTCTCTCTTCAACAGTTCTTTCTCAGATCACTTACTTTTCCTTTCAGCTTGTTACTCAGTCACAAAAAAGCATGATGTTCACAAACCATGAATAACAAAAAAGATGCAAAGTGTCATACCAAGTTGGCTCTGGATTTTGAGTATAAAGAATTAAATTTAAATCATGATTTAGTCACAAGCAGAAAAAATTCCAAGTACAATTAGTATAATCGACATCAGCTAGGTTTAACCTCCCACATCATCCCCATCAGTTTTTGGATCTTTATCCAGTAAGTCTCAATGCAAATACCATGTATTTTGCTTCTGTCTTTATTGCATGGTATTGAAGGAAGCATCCAAGCAGCAGTTCTTCTGTCCAGCTTCTCCTTAGGAAAAAAGTAATTTTCAAGTCTGGATCATCAGCACTTAGTTTTTAGTGGCATCTTTAGCATCTGAGTAGAGATCATGCATATGGGCTGTGGGCTGCTCCTATGCTTAACATCTACCTACTAGTCTTCTATTGGAAATCCCTCCATATAGCACTGACTTGTGGGTGTAGATGTTACACTGCTTTCAGTGGCTTGCCCTGGTAGCTGTAAAATAACGTGTTCTGTGGGAGTTACTCAGTAGCTTTTTCATATGTGGGGAAAAAAATTTATACTGTCTAAAAGTTGGGCCTTCATGTGGCCTATGTGAAGGACACAAAATCACTTTGTTTGAATTAAAAGTTTGATGTCTATAGTGCAATTCACACAATAATTTCTCAATAGACTACCTACCTGTGCTTGCTTTAAATTCTTAGAGAAAATACTTGTCTTCTGGTGCCATCTGGTGGCTTTAGGAGAGACGCAATCTGATAATTGCCATTAAAATATTGTATTTTGTTTAAAGATTGTATTTTAAACAACTAGTGTCTTTATGTAAATTTGATGTATATATCCAAATACAAGTGGCAGGAAACCATATATAAAAGGTGCAAACAGCTGGACCGTAGATAGGAAATATTAGCAACAAGAGTACTCCATTTGCATTTTAGCATGGTAGAAATCCTTGCAGACAGCTAGTTGACACCTTCCAGTGTGAGATGTGAGCTCTGGTTCAGGCTGTGCATATGTTCATATGTGGGTGTACTCATGCAAAAGTGAGCAGGAGTGGTACCTCAGAGTATGATCTCGGTAGTTGCTTCAGCTTCTTACTGAGGTATCCCTCCAAGTGCTGCACTTTGCTTCTCTCGGAGTGGCTTCCTGTAACCCTATTAAATAACTTAATGAGACATAAAAAATCAGAATGTTCTGATTTGGAAGGGACCCACAAGGATCATTTAGTCCGACTTCTAAGTGAATGCACCAAACCTGCAACCTTGGCATTATTAGCACCATGCTTCAACCAGCTGATATGGGCTGTCGTTCTGTGCAGACTTTCTGCGTGCATTTGGGTTTTTCTTTGCTGCTGAAAAACATCTCATAACATCTCTTATGCTTTTAGATATTCTAAAATACTTTCCTTAGGTGCAGAACTTGACATTACCAGTCACACAAGTTTTAATTACAATTAGCAGCACTTGTGGTATGGTGCAGTTTGCACATGTGCGACTAAACCACAGCATCTCTAGACTCCTGTGGAAGGCTGTGTAGTTCCACGTGGAGCCAAGCAAAAGGTCACAGGCTTAGAGATCTTTTAATTTTCTTTGACTACCTGGATTTTTGGAGGGAAGGAGCCTATAACAAGATCAGTGGATGTCAAGATCAGTGAGGTGACCTGATTTCTTTAACAATTTTCTGAAGTGTTGTGACTAGTGCTGTAGACTTAGGTTCTGAAATACCTTAATTTCTTTATCATTAAAAGGTAAATAATTATACTTACTGTTCTTTGGAGAAACTTGATAAACGGCCTTCTTATTAATATTTTTAAAATTTAACTGGAATTCTGTAATATACAAGATGGCTTGATGTAAATATATTATAGCAAAATGTTTGATTGTATTTGCTTTTGTTTTGTGGTAGGTGTGTATTTTTCATTGCTCTTAAATCCATTGTAAGGCATAATGAAGAAAAAATAGCTTCCATTTCTGCTTACAGTACTGTGTCAAAGAAATATTTATTGTTGCACTTCTTCACAGTTGCTGTTATATGAAAGAAGTTGGATGAATAGATGGAAGCCTTCAGTTTTACATGAAGGGGAAGGAAATATAAGAAATATAAAATGGAGAGGGCACTTAATTGCTTGGGCTAATAATATGGTAAGTATTTTTCACCTCCATTACATGTACAAAAATATCTCTGTGTTACACTGATCATTGAAATTTTTCTCAATGCTAATTGCCAGAATATTTAGTTGAAAAACTGAATTTGTAGAAATGTGTATAAAATGCATTGAAGGATAGTGGTTTAATATGTCATTTCTTTCTAGAAATTTCTTCTGTTGTTTTCTGCTGGTTAGGGTTCTCCAATATGATTGCCATTTCTGAAGAAATTAGTAAAGTATCTCTACATACTACTGTGGTGGTCATTAATATACACTATTGTTAATTAGAATTTTGATTAGTGCAATTTATTGAAGCAAACTGAAGAAGGAATGCCTCTGTCATTTTTCTTTATATAAATAATAGAACATCTCTATTCCCTTACACCCCCTGGAAAAAAATAAACTGTCCAGATTTTGTAATTTGTACTGAAATTACATTGTCATATGCACTTTCAATGTTGCAGATTATAAAAAAAAATTCAGTAATAATTTCTTATTTTGTTAGGCCACTAGAAAAAAAGTTAGAAGAAAATAGGTCCCTTTTGTTCTAAGTGTAATTTTAAAGGAAACCATTGCATTCATTCTCAGTATTACATTTCGCCTATCACTGTATATCTAATTGATGGATCAAGCTCTATGTTTTGCAGCTTCGCAGTGAGGGATATGATTTTAATGTGTATCATGTCAAAATTCCAAAGTATTTTTTGAATGTGGTAGAAGTACTTTTGAAACACTAGCTTTTTTTCTATTGTTTTTCCATCATAAAGGGATGCATTTATTAAAATATTTTAAAGCCTTTGTTCTTTTTTATATTTCAAAACCACTTTGATATGAAATTGTTAAAGTTGGACCCTTGTTTATTTGCTTCCCTTTAATAATTCCATTAGAATAGAAGCTTCATTGAGGACTTGACTGATATAACATTAGGTTATTTGAAGGTTTTGTTCTTTTCAGATCCATAAAATTAAAATACATATTCTAGGTATCTGCTGGGATGGACAGGACAAGAGCTATGCCTAGAGATGATGTGCCACAACAGAACACAGAGTACTAATAAAACATTGAGAGCCATCTGTCAGAGACAAAAAGCCATGGTCAGGGCTTATCTTTCAAAGAAAAATGAAATGACACTTGCCCTCCGAAAGATTAATATATTTGGTTATTGCCCTTTCTCTTCCCCTTTAACTTTTTAAACTCTGTTCTATAGCAAGGTTTTGTGTTCACTATTTTTTCCCCAAATCAGAGAAAATGTTTATAGCTGTGCTTCTTACTGTGTGTGCATGGCTACCTTGTTTTCATATTTAGGCAAGGTCTAGTTCTGCTTTTCAGATGCATAGATAACCTGTGTTTGCTGCTATGCCCTCTTCTTCTTCCTCCATGGCTAGTAGTGCCAGTTTTACAAACTGAGACATCTGAGAGACAAATTCTTAGAGGCATTTGGCTGCTGTACTCCCATTTGGACAGGTTTTAGCTCATTCATGATGGGAAGTTGACCGTGGACGTCCTTTCAATTCATTATGCAAATAGCATACTTGTTAGAGGAGAAGCTAAAAGCATTCTCACACCATTCAAAGAGTTACATACGCACCACCCCACACTTTAAGTTCAAGGACTGGAGTCTTTTTTCAGTGGGTAACTCCAAAGAGCCAACAGGGGCCCTTTTGATTCCCTTCTCACTTGTTGTGCACCTGCTCACAGGCAGAGCATGGGAGATTACATAGCAACAACTAAAACATCAGGGAGTCATCAACATTATTCTTACAGTAAATCCATAACTCAGCACTGTACCAGCTACTACAAAGAAAATTAATTAATAATTATTTACCAGCCAAAGCATATCTAGGTGTAAGTTCAGAGCTTACCACCCAAGACTTCAAAAAAAAATCCAGGTACTTATGCTAAGCAAGTAAACCTAAGCAAGCAATGTACTATATTATGCAATATTTTAACTCTAAATGACTTACTCTTATGTAAATCTTACTATATTAAACAACTGTCTCTCCACACTTACAACCAAAGAAGATTCTACACTATTAGTTTGAAAGCTACTTCAAACAGGAGCTGGTCTATCCCATATAAGATTTGCTGCCATGTAGAAAAACAGAAGGTGTGGTATGGGTCACTAAAAATCATCCTTGGAGACAAAGTAGTAAGATTTATAAAAAGCAACTTTATTAAAATGCAATTCAAGCAAGATGAAAAACCTTTATCAGGTGAGCTTAGAAAACACAAAGGATAAGATTGTGTTACCTAGAGATCTGGGCTCTCTACATTGCAGATGTTTTGGTAAGTTTTTGTTTGTTTGTTTGTTTTTGACAGCTTGATGTCTGTTAGCTGATGAGATACTAGTGGAAGTATGTTTCATGCTTACAGTTCTTCAGTGACAAAGATCACTGAAAAAAAATACCTGCACCCACCCTCATACCACTTACCTCATGGCTAAAAAAAAAGGCAAAACCTGGTTAAGACCATGACCCCCCCCATGACTTCTAAACAGTTGTATCTGTGTATTTGTACAGCTGAGGACATAAAACTCACAATTTGGGTTTTGCCACTATGAAAATCCTAACATGGCATGGCATCATGGTTGCTGACCTTTAAAGGTTTTTTTCCATCCCCTTCTTCTGTGATTTGAAGACTCACTCTCTAAGCTCTATGAGCAGAAAAGAAGTCCCTACTAAAATATTTTATTTTAGAGACTTATGTTTTAAATTACCAAGAACAAATAATTAACTTAATATTAAATTAACCTTCATTTTGCTATTGTCTAAATGATACAGAAAAATCTAATTATTGGTTCTTGTTTTCTTCTGTCTCTTGAATGACTTTAATCTTCCTTGTTTTTTGACTTCTCGTTCTATTAGTTTAGGAGATTTCCTGAGGTGGGAGTAAAAAAATCACAGCATACTAAACCAACTATTGTTTAAATATGCTCAGTTTTCTGTTTTAATATAATAGTTGAACTGCATATCTGAGACTGAATTCATTTATCTTAATCAACTGTTGCTTTTCTTTTTCCAAGGTGGAAATTTCTGTGTCTCTACAGGGACTGTTGTGAAAAGGCCGGGATTCTTTTTATTTCTCCAGGAGTAGCACCAGCCCAATAAGCTAAACTAGTTCATGACTGGAATTGCTAGTCTGTCACTCATTCACTTATTATGTCTTTATTTGGCTTGTGAATTTGAAACATCTAAATTGCTCTGATCTCTTTACTCCTTTTGTCACCTCCTGGGTTAGATGGGTTTTGTATCAACAGCTTTTTCTGGTGGCACACTCAGCCCTGCTCTGAAATTTATGCTATAAACTGCTCTGACTGCTTTAGCATACAAAATGGTGAGTAGGAGTTTGTCATACCGAATAAAGTTCTCTTGTTTTTAAACTTTCAGGGCGTAAAGATACTTGACATGATCTCCAAGCAGAGAATTACCAATGTGCCTCGGGATGACATAAGCCTTCGCCCAGATATGTATCCCTGCAGCCTTTGCTGGAAGGATAATTTAACACTGATTATTGGCTGGGGAAATTCAGTAAAGGTACAATTACCTGTCTTTGTAATAAATGCTTGCTGTTATCACAGACAAACAGAGGATTGTTTCTGAAAAGTAAAGGACAATCGAAAAAAATAGAATTTGGTTTGACCAGTGTTCAGAACTCTTGCTACCTTAGAAATGTCATTGGACTGACCCTCATGAGGAGGAGGAGTGATAGGCACCCAGTGGTCAGACAGATCTCTGTGTGAGAGCATGCACTGAATGTAATCCTCAGGGACATTTTACTCCTTGGAGAGATTTTGTCTTTTGAAAGCTTTTAGTATGCTGTTGAGTTAATTTCTTCTGATTAACATTAAGGAAGAGCAATTTACAATGAGGTATTTCTGGAGGGGATTGATTTGGGGGCTGAGGAGGTTACATCTGCTAAAACAGCCACATGGGGAAAAAAAATGGATGGGTGAAAGGACAGACTGCTTAGGGTTTTGTTATCTTTCAACAAGAAACTGGCATTTCAAACTTGTTTGAAATGATAACCAGCCTGGTTATCATTTGCTCAGACCAGCACATGACATGAGTTTGTTACAAGCCTGTTAGCTGTTTTCTAATAACAGACTGAGCTGCATCACTGCTCAGTGGGAAATTAAAAGTGCCTGATAGGAATAGATGGAAAGGGAGGGTGGAGTGAGGTAGGTGACATGTAGAAAGCTTTTGGAGCGTTAAGCTTAGAGTTTTATAAATGAGGAGGTTTGTCCTAAGTTTGGCATCTGTCTTCCCCCTTCTATTTGCCTGTGCTTCACAGTATTTGTTTCTTTGCATTTCTTTGTATGTGCATACTTGCCTCTTGTAACTGGGAGGAGTAATACTGCAAACTTACTGAGTAAGAATCAGAGACCTTGAAAGGTAATGAGACACCAAGTGTGAGAAGACACCAAAACTAAACTCAAAAATAAATGCTTCTTTGAAGAAACCATAAGGGGCGTTTTCACATTTCTTTTATGTGGTCCTCTCCCAGCATATTTATAAGGCTGTGAACTACAGCCACTACTTTCCTGTGTGGTTTTCTTTACTGATGCATCATTACTGTTTCAGAACTTGTGTTTTCCAAAATAAAGAAGTACATGTCCGAGAATTCCCAGAAATTGCCTTTCTTATTGAGGCAACGTTAGTCTCATTTTAGGAATTGCAGCTTCATTATTGTAACAATTCAAATCTTGTTTCCTAGATTTGCTCAGTAAAAGAACGGCATGCCAGTGAAATGCGTGACCTCCCAAACCGCTACGTGGAAATAGGTATGGTAGTATGAATTCACTCCTTTCCAAAAAGCTTTAAAAGTCTTCTACATTCTAGCCAGAGCAGAACTGTTACATTTTGAAGGCAACACGTAGTTGTAACATAAATGTCTCCTCATTTTTAGTTGCTGAGGTTGTCATAATGCCCTCTTGCCTAGGTGTTAGGGTTTTTTTCTGGAGAACCTTAAGTTCTGTGATCATCTAATATCAGAGATACTTGTGTGAACAGTGGATGCCTTAACTTTCCCTTCATACAGATTCCTTTAGAGAACTTGAGTTTTAATCTTGGTTAAATGATTGATGGTCACTGTAGCAGTAAAGAGAAAATAGATACTACTTTATTTGATTATATGTTGTTTGACTACACTACTCATAACATTTTTCTCTTCTTTGTTCCCCCATAAAAATCTCTGGTGTAGTGGTAGGAAATTGATTTTAATTTATTTTTGTTTTCTTTCTTGGTTTCTGAATTCTATATTTTCATTTGCTTTCTTATTTTTCTAGCTAATCTGATGTGAATAAATTTTTATCATTACTGATTATTGGAAAAGTTCTTTACAAAGTAAAGTGGAATTCAAAGAAAATTTGGAAGGGAAGTGGGGATGTAAACAAAAAGTCACATCTGTCCCTAAAAGTGTGTGCTGGGGAAAAGAAGTATCTAGGAACAGATAGTGCTGGGAAGATAAACAGGCCCTCTGATTCTGCAGACCAGAGTGGACACCTGTTTGTAGGCTTTGATGCTTCTTTGATTGTAGTAACATGAGATTGTAGATAAGGTGCTCAAGCAAGATCCTGAATCATGTCAGTTTGGAATGGTGTATGGCATACGTGTGTGTATGCTCTGTTTTCTGATTTCAGGAAATGACTGTTCTAAAATAGCTTCTGAAAATCAGCTAGGAGACTTGTTAAGCTCTGCAGGGAGTCTGAATACTGAGAGATTGGTGATGTGCCTGAGAATTAACTGAGACCTGAAAGCTATTTGTTGTTTAGGATCTCATAATGCAAACAGACTATTTAACTGCAGAATTCTAGGATATTTGCAATAATTTTATCAAAGAAAAGTTTGGTCATGAGTTTTAGCCTCAGATCTTCTATAATATTTTCTGTACCTGTAAGTAGCTTTTAGAAAATAACTAAATGGGTTTGGTCACATACTGACAAGTAAACAGAAGTAACATCTATTTCAGCTGTAATGTGCTTACATGGATGGTGCTACTATTAGGTGACTGTCTATTGAAACTTGATTTAAAAACATAAAAGTTGTCACTGGGCTATTTAGGTGAAGACATACAGGATAAAGATTTACGTGGAAGTAACTTTTTCAACTTAAAATTTCTGGCCTGCAGTTTTCTCTGTAGTCTAGAGGACTGGTATTTTATCTCACGTAACCTGTTAATCATGTGCTTGAGATTTTATTTTTGGTTTCAAGTCAAAGCACTGAAATTGCTCTGTTAAATGCCATCCACAGCACTCTAGAACTTGGGAGGATTGGGACGGAAAAGAGAGAGACATTCTTTATTCAAGTCTCAGTATAAATTAATAGTCTTTCATGTAGTCACATTGAAAGTCTTCCTGACTGCAGTATGTCATGCCATAACATCTATTTCGATTTTATTTCATCATTACTTTTCAAAGGTATAGCTGGAAAGTCTGATCTTATATCACGCCTGCAACCAGTATAGTATTTTTTGCAAGACCACTAATATCCAAAGTAGATGCATAAGTTGATATACTTGCATAAAGTAAAAAATTTATACAAGGCAAGAATATAATCCTTCAATGCAAGGACAATAGAATATCCTTCAGCAATTTTGACTTAAAAGATTTTGTCAACAGACTTAGGAAAAGCAAAACCCTTAACAAAGTATTACTTTAGTCATATTTAGTGGTGTGGGTTTTTTTTACTTTTTTTCTCCCTGGTTTTACAATTTTTCATCTGGAAAGAAAACTATGAAGTGGAGCAGGAAACTTCATAGTTGCTTCTTTGGTTATCAGGGTAATACAAATGGAGTCTCTGATAAAACAGTATCCTGTCATGTGTCAACAGTTTCAGGTTTATGCTGTTTCAAAGCCATTCTGAGGGCCTCTGAGTCCATGGTGGTATCATAGAAAACTGTGATGGTATTAGTAGATAATAAATGTTTCTTCAGTACTTTGCAGTCCAGTAAGTAAGGAAACAGTATTTCCTGCATTGCAATTTAGGTGCATAGGCTCCTCTTTAACAAAGTACCTCCTCATCTTCTGTTTCTGTTCAAGAATTACCTATATTTACTCTAAGGTGGGAAATAATTACAGTATCTGCTGTGATGCTAAACCCCACAATGTGTGAAAGTTACACCACTGAACTGTTCTAGCTGTTTTATCTTAAAGAAGATAATGCTGTGATTATCTGTAAGAAAAAATAGATTAATTATACAGGTCTCATGCACTGAGATCCATGTGGCATTGCTAATTTAATTTCCATCTTTCAGTATATTAGTGGTGCTTTTCTTGAGTAATCTTGCTATTGTATTTGCTACAGTTCATTACCTCTGTGAGTCTTCATTCACTGTCAAAGATAAACACCAAGTGAGTGTTTCTATTTAGGTTTAAACGTATGTTAGCTGAGCAGATCCTATCAGTTTAGCTCTGTCAGCAACTGCTGTGAAGTAGTGTATTGATTAGAAAGTATTGGTATTGAATTACAGGCTTAACGTGGACTAAATGCCATTGTGATCCTTCTTAGAGAGTGCTTGACCTCTATGCTCACTCCTGAAGCATGCACAAAAGCTGTAATGCTACACAGCTTCTGGTCTGAACAGGAAACCCTTCCTCAACTGGAACCCATGAGAAGGCTCCTTGTTAAATAAATAACTAATTAGCCTTTCCAGTTAATATAATGCCTTTTCAAAGGAAAATAGGTAATCTAGTCTTCCTTAGCCTTGTCAGGATTTTATATACTTTTATGGAGAAGTACTTTATCTCTGCCTCAGTTACTCAGGTTGTTAATGATAGCAGAAAATAGAGATTAACACCAGAAGTATGTAAAAGACTTCAAGCTGATTTGACAATGTATATGCAATTTATTTTTGTCTAAATTTTATCTGAGGAATTTCAGCCTAATTTCAGGTACTAGTCAGGCAGAATGTCTCTTGTATAGTTGTTTCCCTTTGCATTCTACCAAATTTCCCACAAAGCGGATTTCTGGTTTAAAAAGTACATGTTTCAAGGCAATGCTTGTAACAACACATCTGTGTGTTTTACAAGGGGATAGCTTCACACCTGCATGGCAAGTTAGCATCATGTATTGGGATTGCACATTTCAATCTGAATACATGGTAATATTGAATTTTTTTTTTGTTTGTAAAGTGACATTAGTGGGATCTAATGTACTGACATATTTCTCTTTATGTAGACAGAATGTAAGACTTAATTGATGGATGTGATGATCAGGAAATTTACTTCATAAGGTGATTTATGCAAACATTTCATTGAAGCAAGTCTGCTATACTCTGAGAAGCCAAAATAAAAAAGAAAAAAAAACCCAAACCTAGTTATATAGTTGATTCTACTTAGAATTTTGTTAGTCTGTTTTGTCACAAGCCAAAGCTATAATTTATAAATTGCTTCATAAAATGAGTCAAAATTCTACAAGATTTTGACTTCTTTGTCATCAAACCTTAGAATTTCTAGGCCCCAAAATTTTTCAAGACTGAATATTTTCCCTGTTGGTTAGCAAAGTTTCTTGATTCAATGGAAAAAAAGCGTTTTTCAGAAAATTGGTTTTGTAGCTTAAGTGATACTTATGTGGGGCCTTTTCTTGTCCTCTTGTTGGAACAGAATTCACATACTCTCAGGAAAAGAAAAAAGTTGTGTTTTACATCAAGTGCAACTCTATGCACAAGATAATAGCTAATCAAATCATGCCATTTTGTATTCTGTTTTGGTTTGCATAAATTACCTAGCTCACTAAAAACATCTGCAAAATTTGTATTCATTGTTACAGGTCACAGTGCATCATACCCTTAAGAGTTCTCAAGATGGTATCTCCACCACCAGTGCTTTTAGGTGAAATCAGATGTAAAACCCTCTGACTGTAACCAAAGTTTTACTTTTCAAAATCTGCTGTGGTAAAGCAGGGGCTGCTTTTAGAGGGCTGACTAAACAATATAGACTCCTTTTAGTTTCAGTGTGTCACATACGCATGGATCTTTAAATCCCAGAGAAAGTGGCTTTATACAGTTTAGGTAAATATTGTAGCATATATAGTTTTATTTCTGTATTTTGGTGTATGTCATACATTTCATTTAATGAGCAGCAAAAAAGATTTACAGATTTCTTAATTTTACTTCCAGGTAATTTATTTGACATCTATACATAGATGCTGAACATGGAGTAGATCCACTGTCAGTCAGCCTGTCTTCTGTCTTCTCTTATGAGAGGCATAAACATGTATGACACATGGCCATACCTCAGTCATTTCCATTTACTTCAATTCTACATTTGTTTTAATTATTTTGGATCCTTTTCAAAATAACAGCATTTCTGCATTGCCTTTATGTTGGATTTCTTTTCCTCCTTGATCACAACACAGTGTCCAGAGAGTAAGTCAATTTAACCTATTATTGTTCTGTGCTGCTGTAACTTCCATCTTCTTTTTTCAGTAAGACTTTTTTGATTAGCAGCATCAAAGGTTTTTGTCAGGTCAAGAAGCACTGTCTATGCCAGTTATTCTTTGTTCAAGGCTGTAGCTGCAGAGCTAGAGCATTGTGTTTCAACAACACTTCTTGAGAAAGATGAGCTAAGAGAAAGCTGATAGTGAAACCAAGGAAACTATTCTACTCAAAAACAAAACTTGAAGTGGCAATTTTTACTTGTTTGTTTATTTGTGTTTCACAGATTAGTACTTCTGCTTGATCTTAAATGCACCATTACATTGGGCATTACAAGCATTTTCAGAGGTAATGAACTGTAGCAAATACAATAGCAAGATTACTCAAGAAAAGCACCACTAATATACTGAAAAAAGGGACTTAAAGTATAAGACAAAGAAACACACATGGATTTTAAAGCTGTTTCTATAATCATTATAAATGATAATTCACCTTGCTGTTTTCCTCTTCAAATACAAACCACAGTATTTTACATGCCTTTGAGAGCCTTCTCTTGGCCCTTCTATAAAGCTGAATTTAAAGTTTCTTTGATAGTATTATGGATTTCACTTTGTTTTTTATTTTCCATGTTTCTTCTCCTGCCTTCCATATTATTTTTAAATGCTAAATACTAAATTTTTAACTGAGAATACGGTCGGTATGTAGTTAGTTTTGAACTGATTGTTTAAAATCATCACTGAGAGCAACATGTGACACAAAGTAATCTCATCAGCCTTGTAGGCTAGAAAAATATAATTATGTACATGGCTACACATGTGAACCTCTTCTCTGTGAGTGGATTGAGTGCTCTACCCTTGTGCTGTAGTGTGGTCCTTCAGTGATGCCAAAGTGTCAGCAGTCATTGAAGGAAAAACAGTGCTTGGTTATTCGTTGAGAGACAGGTGTCATATATATACTGTTTCATTGTATTTTTTCTCCTTGTGTGTGAGGACAATTATTTCTCCTGTTTCTTCTTATCATCTTAGTTAAAGAAAATCAGCTTTATTATTAATGTCATTATGCTGTATTTTCTGTTTACCTCGTTAGTAAATTTTAAGATATATATATTAGTAGTGTATTATGCTAAATAGTAAGGAAGGAAACATTTTGTTTCTTACTTATGCTTAGATTCTCCTAAAACCATGTTTTGGAGAAAATAATGAAGTATCTGATGCTTTTTTAAAGACTTATAGTTACAAGGCCTGCTAATGTAAACACTTGGATGATTCTTGTTTTTTGTCCCCATGAGAGAGTAGCTCACAAAAAGTGGTGCATTGTAAATCCAGCAGAATAAAAACAAAGAGGTGTTTCTATGGCAGAGGTCTCATTTATTAAGTATTTTAGTAAATACAGTTCAGCACTCTATTTTTCTTTCTCGAAATAAACTCATGTAACTATCTCGATTTCAAGACCAATTCCAGAAAATTATATTTTCAGTTTTATGAACTAGATACTATGAACTGTGTTTTCTTTGTAATGAGTGTATCTGTAAATTATTCTATGATGTTTAATGCAATGATAAATAAATAATAACCTTTGTGTTTTCCTGTATACCAATAGATGCAGCAGGTGTGATTCTCTTATGGCCACATGAACATGCTGTGAATATGCAAACCAATGAAGTTTTTTGCTTGTTTTATTGAGTTTGATTTTTGTTTTGCTTCCTTTTTCAATGTGATTACTGAAAACCAGACTGCACCTTCATTTCAGATGTTTCATCTGTAACATATCCTGGAGCACAAAGATTTCCTTTTGCAAGCTTTAATGTAATTTAATCTGTTAAATATAAATCTTAGTTTGATCCAACTGGGAAATCTCTGGGTTTGTTATATGTGTTGAGTCTTCAGTTCTCTGAAGTGGTGCTATATGCTGTTGATTGTCTCTGAAAATCAGTAAGTTTTTCTTAGTTAGCAGTTCACAAACATACATGTTTTTAAGTCTGTTTTTCTTTCCTGTATTTCAGTTTTCCAATTTGACACCGAATTCTACGTCAGTGGACTTGCGCCTCTCTGTGACCAGCTTGTTATACTTTCATATGTAAAGGAGATCTCCGAAAAAACGGTAGTTTCTTTAATCTCAGAGTTTCTTCACAACATTAATTTGGCCTGTGAGTTGGGCCTTAAACTAGTCATATAAATATGATTATCTGAGAAAAATTTGTAGTCTGCTGGTAGTAGACAGGGCTTGAAATGTCTCTGATCCATAAAACAATGTCAGTGGAGGTAATGTTGACTAATGTCAAAGGGACATTAGTCAACATGTTGGCTAAAGGGAAGATTAATGTGCTTCTCTTTCAGGAATTATGTCTGGGTTCCTTTCTTCCTTGCAGAATGCAGAGAAAGTCTCTAGCTAGTTCTTCTTGCTCCTTTTTCCTTCCTTTCTCCCCCCCACCACCCCTCTTCTCTTTTCTTCTCTCCTTTTCTCTTTCTTCCTGATGTTTCTGCACCAGAAGAAATAAAGAATCTTGTTTGACCATAAGAGGAGCTTGCTGACACTGCATCTCAAAAGAAATGAGAATACTTGATCAACTCAAGCATAAGAGTGACTGTGGGGTGGAATAAATGATTGTGAGCAAGTGGTGTCATTGTCTCCCATTCTTCTAAGATCTTTAGTTGTGTACACCCAGATCCATGTGTGAAGAGGTAGAAATTAGAATTCATGTCAGCCATTTATACTGTGCATGGACAAGTGCTGTGTCTGTCTCCGACATTGATTTCATATTGCCAAATAAAGGTAACACAGTGGAGGAAATCCTTGAAGCTGCAGTGTGAGGATGGCAGATGCCCTTGATCATCTCTTTGATAAGCATGTCTGCGTTAGACAATCATCACCATAGTAACCTTAAGAAACTGGGTGCGCAAGTTGCTAGGCAATGAAATGCTCTAGGTTCAAACAAATGCACAAGCCTTCTGAAATCAGTGGGGTTAGCTTCTAGTTCTACTTCAGGTTGTCAGATTATTATTTCTTTATTTATATAAAGGATAAAAATAATGTCAGAACAATGTTTCCTAAAAGAGACAGCACAGTGTGGGAGAGTCAGTGCAAGACAAGAAAGCAGACAAATGGGATAAGGAAGGGGGAGGAAGAGGTGGGTTGAAATGCAAGGAAGCAAGGAAATTGGGATGCCACTGTTAATGAAGAAGTAGTGCAGGAAAGGAGCTAGTGTAAATGAGGTAGTGACTGCTAAATGTTAAAGTCATTTTAATTGCTTTAGGAAAGAAAGATAAAAAGGGAATTTCAGGTGATATAATGGTAATTGAACATAGGAAAAAGTTTATCTCATGTATTTGCCTTTAATTAGCCTTTTAAACAAACTCCAAATGCTGGACTTCACTAACTTCTCAGTTCTCTGGGTAGCTGTAGAAGGAACAGAAGTACAATTGTCCCTGATGGTGTCCTGTTGTGATGGGAATTCCTTTGTTAGTGTCTTACTTCACTTGTCTTGTTCGAGTGGAGCCCAAACTGCCAGAACTTGCAGCAGAATTGCTGCTCACTACAAAAATGTCCTTTAGTTGCAAGGCAAACTTGTCTTCCTACACTTGATTTCACAGCTTGCAATTTACAGCTTCTTACTTATTACAAATTAGATCACAATTGAACTTGCTTTGAAAGTTTTTTTTGTTTAGGTATATTTTTCCTGGAACTGTTAAACTGAGAAAAGACCCAAGTGCTGCTACTAATGGGTGGGTTAGAGCTGTTTAAATGCACTTTTTATATGTTCTTGGTCTTTTATTCTATATCTTGCTATAATTCACAGCCTGAAGTAGAAAATATAGGATTATCTTGGACCTTGACTTAATTAAAAATGCAGTTAGTTGAAGACAGCAGTTTCACTTAGAAAGTGAAAATCCATTATGTCATCTTAACATAACCACCTACATTGCACTTGAAAGTTCATTTTACTCTAAGTTCATCAGAACTTAGCAAAGTTTTTGTATTATTCCCAGATTAATTTTTCCCTGCTGCTGCTGGCTGCCTAAAATAAAACATCAGCTTAAAAAAAAAATATTTTAATACCAGAATACCAGACTCAATAGAGCTCTGTCCTTCAGGGCATGAGCCCTGCTGGGTATGGGTTCTAAATTGTTGTGTTGCTTATTGAATGAAGCAATTGATAGTCATCTGTGGTAGCCCTGAAAAAGTAGTAAGCAAACTCAGGGTAGTATTGGACCTCCTCCTTCAGACTGATTTTCTTCAAGGAAAGCTAAGAGTAACTTGGAGTAACTTTCCTTTGAGTTCCAGATGCAATTACTCTGTGCAGCACAGCTTTGCAACTTGCATGATTTGCAGCTGAGTAGCCAGTGCAAAGTACTGGCTTTGTGAATATTTGCAGCTGTTGAATTTTAGCCTTGTTTATAGATGACCAGCAGTTGGTATAACGAAGGCAAATCATGTAGGAAGTGACTAAGGTGTTGTTTTTCTAGGAAGTGGAGTGTTGTGCAAGGCCTAGACTTGATATTGTACAACCCCTGCCTGAGTCCTGTGAAGAGATCTCTTCTGATGCACTAACAGTACGAGGATTTCAGGAAAATGAATGTCGTGATTATCACTTAGGTAGGTGTTCTGAATATTGTTGTGTTTTGTTTTCATACCTTGCTTTAAAACAGATTTGGGTGTACTTAGCCTCCTTTTTCATTTTTATGTCATTTTTTTGTCATCTCTATGTATAGCTGTAACTGCTTTTTGACACTGAAGGGCAAAGTGGAAATCCACAAGAACCAGTCGTATGAAAGAAAACAAATGTGTGTATTTAAACATAATGATTTTTAATGCTATCTATTAGGTCAGACCTACTGGAGAAGGCAGAAGTATATACACCTTGTGTAATGTGCAGTATTGTTGAAGGCCATATTTTTGAAGGAGATTTATTTAACATATGATCCATAGGAACTCTTTTTATACAAAGGGCTTCAGGAATAATGAAATTTGTGGCACAGTGTCTGGAAAAGCTGCTTTAGAGGGAAAGATTGAATAAGTATCATTTCAACATTAAGGTGTACATGGCCCCTTAAAAGGGGCCCACTGATATTTAGCTTCCCTGTACTGACAAAGCTGCCAGTTATATTACAGACCTCAAATGGTAAAATTAAATTAATAGGAACTGGATTTTGGCAAGCTCCACCTAGAGGATAGGTGTATATAACAGGAAAGGACATGAAGCCCTGGCACAATATATGCCATCTTTTAAACATGGGATAGTTTTCTGATCTATATGTTGTAGCTCAGAACAATGCATGGCAAAGCTGATGGAGAATTCCTTGGTGAAGATTATGTAGCCTGTGTTATACAGAAGCATTTCTTCTGGCTTTTAAAATACATTAATCTGAATTTTAAGTATCTCCTCTGGCAGCATGCTTCAAATCATAGGCTTGGCAAACCTCTTTGTGTACATCTATGCCCTTAAGCCACTAGAAATATAGTGTATCTCCTCCTGACCTCAAAAACATCGATGCTGCTATCAGTAGAATAGAGGTTTCTTTTTACACCTTCCAAAGCAAAACAGCTGTACTTTTATGCTTTATGTATATTCTAGTTTACCTGAAAAATCTAAATGTTTTGTATGGTTTTAAAACAAGCATTATTTTGTGAATTTCTTATCATTTCAGGAGTGTATTTGTACATGTTTATAGAAACTGATCTGGACAGTGAGTGGTTTTCTATTCTGTACCTACAAAGTATTCATGTTTCTTCATGTTGTGTCCAAATGATAACTATTCAGAGGAGTCATCTTCTGCATTTGATTTGACCTTTTTGTACTTTTTCTTTGAGCTTACTCAAAAATAAAGGCTTATGGTGTAAGAAAATGCATTATACATATAGCCTTAACTTGCAGCATTGTAAATGCATTGCTGTAATGATGTACTGTGTCCCCAGGGGTTATGGCATCTATCATTTATGCTTTTGATGGCCTTGACCTTGATGGGAAGGATAAGTTTATTGCAGGCTGTGTAGTGTAATGTCTTCTAAAAGTATAATAATGGGTTCTAAACCATCATAAAGTTTACACATAGTGGATGAATCAGAATTTGCAATAAGTTGTAGTGGTTTTTTGAAATATATTTTGCCATTTAAACCAGTTTTAATTTATTGGAAAATACAGCATCCAAACTAGTGTGTCCTGCAGGAGTGGCCTTGCTGTTTTCCTTGCATCTCCTCTTTGTAAATTCCCCTCAAGGGTATGCTAAAAGGCAGAACTTAAAGAAAATATAATAATAATAAAACTGTGTATGCATTTGCAGAGTATTCGGAGGGTGAATCACTTTTTTATATCATCAGCCCAAGAGATGTGGTTGTGGCCAAAGAGCGGGACCAAGATGACCACATTGACTGGCTTCTTGAAAAGAAGAAATACGAAGTAATTTTTACGTCATTCTTTCCTTCAGACTTTCCTTCTTTGGAAATTGGAGTAGGATGATGGACTTTGCTAGGTCATTTGGATTGGACCATTTCTGTTCCTACAGTCATAGACTAAATGCTTGTAAAGGATGGGAGTTAAATATACATTAGTCCATCTCTTACAGTTAGTCTTACTATTGAAACAGCTAATCAGAATTTCACCAAGTGACGTAGCTGAATTAGATGCTGAAAATACTGCTCTCATCATCAGTTATGAAATGTGTTAGCTGACACTGAAAATTATTAAAGGTGGGTTTTGTCTTTAGAACAGCAGAAGAGTTAACTAATGAGCTGTGCTTTTAAAAGTAAAATACTATGGGCTTAAACTGTAGCTGCACATGCTGAAAGTATTGTTGCTCACAATAAAGCTGGTCACAATAAAGCTTGGTTGTATAAATATTGGTGTTTGAGTACGTATATCTACATACCTAAAACAGTAAGTTCTTTCATACCATATGAACATGCACACAGTGGTCTGAATTCTAATATCCTGCATTTATTGACTTAGAACATTTGTTATGATGTATAAAGTTAACTTGCAAATTCTAATTTATGTTTGTTGTATGCCCATTATAAGAAAAAGAATGTAGAAAAACCATTCAGCATGTATTGCTTTTGCTAATATAATCATGCAGATTTGTTTAAATCCTTGTGGATGCTTTTGCATTGGAGTAGCAAACTTGGATGATGAGTGCAGTTTTGCAATATATGTAAATCACAGCATTTGGTCCCTGAAGACACCAGTAATTTGAAAGTGACAGCTGTGTGTGCCTTTATGAAAACCATTCAAGTTAGCAGACAGGCCTGTTACGATGTATCTTAAAGGTTTCATTTTTATTTGTAAAAGTTCCAGCTTTTTTCCTATACATTCAAAAAAAAAGAAATAGAAGAAGTAGAAGAACAGCAAATGATGCTTAAATGTAAATAATTCTGACTGAAGAAGACATTTGGGCTGGGGAACTGGGAGGTAGCCTTCCCCCATTCACCCCTTTTTCCTGTTGATTTTTTTCACAGGTTTTGGTAGTAAAGTGGTCTCTTTTGAAAACGATCAAATGTGATTGCATTGTGTGTTTTGTTGTGATTTGATCTTAATATAATAATGTGGAGTGAACCCAGATGGAAACAAGAGTAGTTTGCTCTTTGGTTGACTGCTTTTGTTTGAGTATGAATTCAAAGCTGTTCATCCAACCATAGCATTAAAAATTTTAGTGCTTCCAACACCCTAACTCTGAAAAACAGTTGATTTATGCAGTTCTAGAGCTTGCTGTATTGAAAGTTTGTGTGTTTGACTGGTATCTCTGTTTTCTCCTTTTTGAATACAGGAAGCTTTGATGGCAGCTGAGATCAGTCAGAAAACCATAAAAAAGCACAAGATTTTGGTAAGACTCAAAACTTATATTCAAAATAAAATATCTTCTTTCTTTTAGAATGGTGTAAGGTACAACAATATAGTCCCTGTTTTTTATAACACCATGCATAACTGTTAGTTATACTCCAACTGGCATCCAATGTCTTGGTTTCAGCTGCAGAACAGGTGTGTTAGTCCATGCAACATGAAAGGGTCTGCATTTTATGAAGGTGCTATTGGCATTGAAAGAAAGATAATTCCATTTCTCTGATTCTGATGTGGGTTTTTGTTTGGTTTTACTTTTGTATTACATTTACTGTTGTTTGAAGTAACATGCAGTATTTCACTATTAGAGATTGCAGGCAGGAGTGACAAATTTCTCTTTAACTTATACCTCGTACATGTGACAGGACTTTGTGAAAAGTTCAGGAGACGCCCCTTTTCTCATATATAGTTATTTCCCATTTTTATAGTCCCTTTCACAGAGCAACAAAGGGTATCAATGTTTAAAAGAAAAGTGGGAATGGTGTCATAGACACAAAAGTGTCATTATTTTTAGCTTTTGTTTGTTTGCTTTGGTTTAAATTCACTAATACTGATGCTGCTTTAAATTGAAATCTGTACAAAGTGTTCCAAGATGTGTTTAATTTTTTGGCCATAATACTGGTGCTATAAGCACAGTGCATATCAGTATGTCTTAAAAACTTTTATTCTTGTGTAGTCCAGAAGTTGAATCAAGATTTAAATGGCATGCAATTACCTATCACAGAGTTTGCATTTAACAAAGCTGTGACCCTTGCAAAAGATGTAAAGAATTGTTAAAGGGGGTCCTGGCAATGCATTAGGAGGAAAAAAAGAAACCCAAGCAGACAAACACCAAACTAAATTTAAAAACCCCACAGCTTTTCTTTTGCTTTGCAGAAATTTGCTATACAATAAATTATTAAATTCAGTGAAATACAAGCAGTTTTTGAGAGCCTGGTCTCTAAAGCAGAAGCCAACAGAATGTGTTGTGGAAACAAAATGTTGACATCAAGCTCTAAGTGAGTATTAGTGGTGAAGCAATTCATGCTCTCACTGCCTAGTGACACCACTCTCAGGATACCTGACAAGTCTGGTAGACTTGGGATTTTTTAGGTGGAAGTAATTATCACTGCTCCTCTGCACCTCTTGAGCAGAGCACAGAGATCCTAAACAACCAGATCTACATCTCTTTTCCTTATACATCTCTGCTCACTGGGAAGCTAGTCCACAGGAGAATGAAGATTTCTTTCAGCCTCTTTCTTGAGAATGGTGAAGTTGAAAATACGAAGGTGGTTCCTATAGCGTAATTAAATCCTAAAATCTTGTGTATGTGCATTTTTTTCCTAACTTTGTAGTACATTGACCAGGTGAAGTTGTTGCGTACCCCTGTTCATATTATGCTGTATGTGCTATATGGTCAATACTGTCCTTGATATTGATCAAAGAAATGTTATGTCTCAGAAGATGAAAATGTTTCTTTTTTTTTAAGAAACAAGGACTTCTTTTTCATGGTACAGCTTTGTTTTTTTCTTTTTTTTTTCCTTTCTATAAACAATGTGCTTTTTTTAGTGATGTGATTCTTAAGTTATATAATGAGTACACTGGATTATGTCAAAACGGACATAAGTGTTGAGATTACATTAGGAGGCTTGTGCCAAAATTTTAATATATATTAAATGTATACTAGAAACATTTTACAACTGACCTGTGTGATAAACTTTGAGAAAGGAAATTTGTTATGTAATAAGTAATATCTTGCTAAGTTCTCAGTAATTCCTGCACTTTATTGAGCAGCATTAAGATTTATATTCTCAACCAACTTTTTGCCCTCTGCAAACTGTCTTGACAAAGAGCATGTCTTATACAATGACTGCTGGTTTTCTTTTTGAACTAATTCAAGCATAGCAAAATCAGCTATGCATTTCAAACAATCCTTAATAATTAGGGGTGGTAATCTTCTCAGCATCAGTGAGGTCATGAGAATTATTTAAAAGAGCACCTTTAGCTGAGCCTGTGAGCAGCCTATGCAAATATTTTGTAATGACTGTTCTGTGGCCCTGCTTGTAAAGGAGAATCCAGGGATGCACTTAGAGCCTTGAATTTCCAGCTATATGCACTACTGTTGCAGTAGTTCTTGTGGTAGTCAGATAGTTCACTTCCAAACTTTTATAACTGACTCTGTTTTTATTCCCTCTAGGATATTGGCTTAGCCTATATAAATCATCTGGTGGAGAAAGGAGAGTATGACCTGGCTGCTAGGTAACCTAGTATTAAAGATCTTCTTTGCTGGCTGAAGTGTGTCTGTGTGGGGAAAAAGCAAAAATAAATTATTGATTCTGAAGTATTTGCAGATGTTGATTTCCAGTCTGTTCTGGAATTTCTGAAGTTTCAAAATATAGAGGTGCACTGCGGTGCCATATATTTTTTTGCCTGCAGTGCCCTAAAAGTTGCTGTAAATTTTAACTGGAATCGAGCATATATTTTTAAAAGTAAGCCTTGATTTTTCAAAGTCACACTAGATTTTCAAAACTAAGGTTTTCTTTGGATTCTGATAGCCTCAGGTGTGTCATTGCACATAAGATCATCAGAAAATAATTTGATTTTGCATAGGTATAAACAAAAATGTCAAATACGGGAATCTAAAGTAAGGATTAGAAATTACCCAAGATTTTTGCTTTCGTGTACATGTAAGCATAAGCATATTTTTTTAAGTGTTCAGTTTTTATCAGCTGAGATATAAAGACTTCATTTATAAAGCTGACCAAGAGGGTGGCATCTCTGCCTAGGGTGTGTGGATTTCAACTAGATTGGAAGCTCCCTTCCCATCCAAACCATGCCATACCATGCCATGATTCTATGAAAGCTAATATGGCCCTAAAATTAAGGGTGAATACATAATAAGCAGTTAGTCCTCTTGGATGCAACAAAATTTTAAGGTTTGAAAGGAGGAGAACCTGGCATACTCAAAAAGTTGTGGTTGCCAAAATAAGTCACTTTTATAAGTGTCATGATAAGGAGAAGAAGAAAGGAATCCTTGTAGTAATGCTGTCACATTTGTATTACTTTCTGTACCTACTCATCTCTTTCATTTTCCTTCCAGAAAGTGCCAGAAAATCCTTGGGAAAAACACAGAACTCTGGGAATTTGAAGTTTACAAGTTTAAAGAAATAGGTCAGCTTAAAGTAAGTTAATTTCTGTGTCTTCACGCGAGTAATTTGTATGTTGTACTTACTGTTTGTATTGGCCAAGTATTGTACTGACAAAAGCATCACATTTAATGGTTCTCTTCTGGTATTGCTGCCCCAGATCTCTGTTGGTTTCTAGACATCTGTCTTTCTGATTGATGTATAAATTACTTAAAGCAAGATTGGAGGCATAGTGCTATGTATTTTACTTGTTGGCAGTCTCCAACATGAAAGACCCACCCCAAAGCTTTTACTTGCTAAGATGCTCACAGTTAAATACATCTTTCCCATTTACCTCTCATCCATTTCCTGCAAGTGCTAAAAATACTACCTCAGGTATTAAGGAAAATAGACTATGTGGGTGCCAGTCATTCTGGCAAATCCAGGTCCATTGCAACAGTTACACAGCTTTTGGTGTCAAAGAATTGCAAAGCAGCAGTGATGACCTATGCTGTATGCTAGAAATGGTGGTGAGAAAGAGGAGTAGTCTGCGCTGCCTGGTGTTTTCCCTTGTCGCAAGCCAGCTGCTACAACAGTACACATTTAATGTGAGAGTCTCAGTTAATAAATTGCACAGGACATAAAGCCTAGTACTGTCACTGCTAAACCAATTGAAAACTTTATGCATGCTCCCTTTGGTAACATGTGTACATTTACTTCTGAATTTTATGTCTTCCTATTCAAACTCAATGAGCCAAAAAGGACATACTATTAAGATCTAACAGCATGCAGTCCCTTGCTGGTTTTGAGCTATTTAATTCTGTTCAAAGACCAAAAGTGTTTCAGCATTAGAATTTCAGAAATGTCTGACTTCGGTTTCAGGGCCACTCCAGTGCAAAAACAGCCTTGCTTTTAGTATGACTTCTTTGTGGTTTGGTGCACTCTTTACTACTTTGGAAGATGAAATCCTATGTTTCTGTTTCTTTATTTCAGTCCAATAAAGGATTTGAATGCAGCTACAGGTGAATTTTTCATACACTGCTTCTTCTTTTGGTTTTATTTTGGTTTTAGCTGCAGTTGTCTGGAAGAGATGTTTGTCTTGTCTCCACTTACATCATCCAGCAGACTGTCAAATATAAAAATATTTGCAGGTTTGTTGCAAAAACTTCTCTGCTCAATTATTGCATTTCCAAACAGTTGGCTGTTTTCAGGCTTTAGAATATCTCTTTTTTCTTCTTAGAGCCTAGGCCTAGGAACTCTCAGAAATACATGAGATGCAGTCCATTACATTATTCAGCTTCAAGTTGCAGTTCTAGAAAATGCCTGCCTTATTTCACTATTTCAATTGCATATAACTTTTGCCAGATTTCTAAAGATGTCTGAGTACCATAAAGGATGAACTAAATAAAGCCAGATCTGAATGAAGGGGTTCTTGTAATGCTTGGGATCACTTGTGTAGAATTTTTACCTACTTAAGTGACTAGCAGATAATAAACACCATATTGTAACTGGCCTATAATGGCTTTCAGGCCTGATGAGGAGACTATTTGAGATGTGGAAACAGAGTTTATTTCAAAACAGAATTGTGGTGGAAGAATTTGCACAGCTTATAAGTTGTTGCCTGAAATCTGATGTTTCAAATCTAGCATGACTTGCCAATAACTGAGGTGACAGTAAAGTAAAGGCTTGAAATTTCCTTCCTGTGCAGTAGTGATACCCCTGTGTCAAATTCTGTGAGGTGAGTGTTGTTTGTTTGTATGTAATTTTAGGCGTTTTTTGAGTGTTCTATATTAAGCTGTCCTGTTTGGCTACCAAAGGTTGCTTTTTGATATCTTGATGTCTCTCATCTTCAATGAATGTCCTCTATGAAATCTAGTTGGGTCAGTTTCAAGATTCTAGAGCCTTGCAGTGATGTGTTCCTCTCCTGCTCCAGCGGTGGTGGCTTGAGGGAGTTATGTGTTTGTGTTGCCTTTTGCCCAACCCAGAAATGAAACTTGACATAATTTTAGTAAGGAGGTAATATAAAAGAGAATCTTTATGTGAAGGCCTTCAGGAGCAGTTATGGAAAGGTGTCCACAAAAGCCCACCCCTACAGGGATGAGTACATATTTATAGGTTTTAGGAAATGAACATAATTGATAAAAAACACCTATCAGGAGGACAAGTGGTGATGCAATTCTCCCTCAGGTCAAGCCTCTTCTCTGGAGCCACCCCTTCAGCACTAGTTGTACTTTGTCCATGAGAATGTATCTCGAAGAGTTGTTCTTGGCCTTGGTTCCCAGGAAGAACCAAGAGGGCCTTATACTGCTTAGAGCTCTGGAGTTTGTTTTGTCTTTCTGCTTAAGGAAAGGCCATGGAAAAATACTGGGGAAATCTAATCGCTAATACAATAGGTGACAGAGTTACAAATATATGTGTGAAGAATGCAGAGAACATAGAAAATAAAGCAAAACTCAAATGGCATCACTTGTGCTCAGGTCACTTCAGTATAAAATCTAATGTCTGAGCTCAAGCAGCTGAGGAAGGTGGGTGGATTCAAAGGAAGGTTTCATACTCTGTGAGTTCTGGCTGTTGTGGCATGAGAAATATGCTCCATTTTGTTTGCTATGACAGTGATTTTCAGCAAAGATGCAGGATGATCAGCTAGCAGCAGCAGTGCTTTAACCAAAACATTGGATGTAACACATTTGAAAGACTTCACGTGATTGTAGTGGGCATAGCAGAGAGTAGCACTATCCTGACAGGCTCTTTCATCTCTTAGATATCCTTTTAATAAATAATTGTTGTTCTGGCTTATTGGTAGGGTGGTTTAGGCTCCCTTATGTCAATTTTTATATGTGTTTTCTTGTATATACCTCGTCCTTACATTTTTTGATGGAAAGTCTGAAAGCAGATCTTGAAACAAGGGAAGAAAATATTTCTCTGTATAGTATCTCTTTTTTATTTTAAGTCACTTTACCACATAGTTCAAGAATTGGTACAAAACTGCAGCTTAAAAATAAAATAGGAAGTGTTTTTAACATCTAGCATGGGTCACCTTTGTGCCAAGGCTTAAAAATAACTTGGATGCTTCTTACATGCTGAGCATGGTGGTCAAACTGCAGGAGGTGGCTGTGTTTTTTCTTCAAAGCAATGGGACATGGGGCAGGAGACATTTCATTCATAAAGCAGCCTGACTCACGCATAACAAGGAAACTACAACTCTCCAGAGCTTGCTGTGTGGCCAAACTGCAGCCAAGAGTTGCACCAGTCTGTTGGGGGAAGTTGTTGATACAGGAGGTAGCAGGAAGGTAGAAAGTGGGAGTGAACAGCCATTGGAGATTGTCTTCTGCCTTTGAGTCTCCAGTTAATGTCCATCTTGCTTTCCTATGGTCAAAAGAGACTTTTTATGAAGGAGTCAGGAATATGATACCACAGAGCAGCCATCAAGACTGTACCCTGAGTTAACTGATAAATCCTGTGACAGCTGGTGGGAGCTGATGTTGGCAGCACTACATTTCAAAAACTGGCCAAGTCTAAACAGCACAGTGAGGGAAGAGGTCTAAAATGTAGTGAGGTGTTTTTTTCTCCTGCTTTGTTCAAGCAACCTCAGTAATAAAATGCTATTGTACCATGTGCCAATAGTGTGCAACAGGCAACATCTCTGAGTGTTTGGAAGAATATTACTGGTGTTGGTCCCTCAGCTACAAACCCTACAATCCCCAGACAGCTGGTACCAGTGGGATTTATTTTGGCAGGTGGAAATAATCTTGGCCTCTAGTTGCATGGAATAGTAGTGCTAATTAGATGCTGTGCTGAAATTCCAGGGTATAAGCTGATTTATTCTGGCAGTTTCTCATCTCTTGCTTGCTGGAATGCAATTCCTTAACACCTTCTATACAGTAAGAGATCACATGCCTTCACCCTTTTCATGGAGAGATATATTTTCAAATTAATTTTCAAGTGGGTATGTAAAAATAGCCCTTCATAGAGTGTGGTGACCCCAAAGTAAGTTATAAATCAAAATTACACATGTATTGTGCTTACGTGATCAGGTTCTCATAGTGGGAGTGCTACAATAGTGGCTTATGTGAGAAGCTGGCACAATGCCAGCCAGCTCCAGGATGGACCTACTGCTGGCCAAGATCAAGCCAATCAGGAATTATAGGAACACCCCTGCAATAACAGATTTAAAAACAAAGAAAAAAAGTTATTGCAAAGTTGTAACTGTGACCAGAGAAGAACTGAGTGATAATATGAGAGAGGAGACAACTCTGCAGACACTGAGGAGGAGAGGAGGAGGAGGAGGTGCTGCAGGCACCAGAGCTGAGATTCCTCTTCAGGCCATAGTGAAAACCATGAAGCAGCTGTGTCCCTGCAGCCCGTGGAGGACAAAGGGGATGCAGAGATCCTGTGTAGGAGTCCATGCTGGAGCAGATTGTGCCTGAAGGACTGCATCCAATGGAAGAGTGACCCACATTGCAGCAGTTCATGGGGAACTGTTTGTCCATGGGATGGATTTGTGTTAAAGAAGTTTGTGGAGAGCTGTCTTCTGTGAGAGAGACCCCACACTGGAGAAGGGGAAGGCCTCCTCTACCTGAGCAGCAAGAGAAGCAACATGTGATGAGCTGTCAATCATTCCCTGTCAATCAATCCCCATTCCCTGTCTCCCTGAGTTTCTTGGGTAAAGGAGGTAGAGCCCCAGAAGGAGGAATGAGATTATTTTATGTCTTACTATCCTGCTCTGGTTTGCTTATTAATAAATTCAATTACTATTCCAGATGTGAATCTGTTTTGCTATGATGGTATTTGGTGAGTGATCCCTCCTGGATCTTTTCTTATCCCATGGACTGTTTGTTATTTTTTTTCTCCTCTGTCTTGGTGTGGAGGGAAGAGAGAGTGTGATTTTGTTGGGTACCTGGTGTCCAGCCAGGGTCAATCTACTACACACATTTTTCAGCTAATGAATCCTTATACCTTTTTACAAGGCCAAGACTTAACAAAAGGAACATTCTTGTTTTGAGGGATCTTTTATGGGTTTTGTTTTCTAAATGACTTCTGGTCTCTTAAGGACAATGTCTGATTCTCCTATTCTAATTAGTATCTTGCCACCTGTCTCTCAAATGATAGTTCTTTCAAATGAGTTATAAAATTCCGGTGTGTATAATCCTAAAGTACATAACTACTGGGTGCTGCTTACAAGTATGAGTTTATAAGGTTTCCAGTGATTATCAGGGGCCATAGGGACCATGTTTTGCTTATAGCCTTGTTCTTTTGTTTCACAGAATTTTTTTTTCCTATCAGTGTACCAGGATGTTACATGTCATTCACCATCTGACACTTTGTTCTGTTTGTTTCTATAGGCAATTAGTCGTTACTTGCCAAGACGAGATCCAGTTTTGAAACCTCTCATCTATGAAATGGTCCTGCATGAATTTTTGGAAAGTGACTATGAGGTACTTCAGCCTGATGTATCCACACCAGTGTGTCCCATAGTTATTGCCAGCCAAATACCCTTAGCAGTGAAGAATTCTGACAGCAAATTCTCTGATGTATTCAGATTATCAGTGGACAGTTCCACAATAATGACAATATTTAAAAGTTGAATTTTAATTTTAAGATAATAAGTATAATGTTCTTCAGAGCATGCAAATACTGTGATTATTTAGACTGTATTTATCATTTATTAGACTGTTATTTTTAGTTTTTTTTAATGTAGCATAAGGGGTTGAGGTGATGCACAAAGCCTACAGCCTCTGAAAGAGACTCAGCTTCAGTAATTGTAATAACTTAGCCCTAAGGAGGAAAGATCCATGTTCTGCGCTTTACATGTCTATGGGCACGTGAAAGTTCTTTAAAGGTTAAGGACAGCAGGTATTATCTCAGAGCTTAGCTGAAACTCTGATGTTTTGAAATGCTCCTTAGGCCATTCTTACTATTTCTGTTACAATCTCTTATACTTTTAGGGGTTTGCAACCCTAATAAAAGAGTGGCCTGGAGATCTGTACAACAACACAATCATAGTTCAAGCTGTAGTGGATCACCTGAAGAAAGATCCACAGAACAGGACGTTGCTACAAACACTTGCAGAATTGTGAGTACAGTTTTAAATTCCTGTTACAAAAAGTAACTTAACTTACTTACTTAAACTGAACTTACACTTAAAATAGTGTACTGCAGTTTATCCATATTTGCTCAGCTCTCTTAACAGAAATCTTCTTTGCTGCAGTGTACAGAGTGTTAGCTTTCTCTCCTCTCCACTCTGCTGATTGCACAGCTTAGCAATCCTTTACCCTTCCTTGTAAAGTTCTCATTGAGTATGAAAGCAAATTGTCAAGCATGAGATTGGATTTCCAACTCCTCTTTCCAAAGTAAATAACTAGCATTCCTTTTCATGCTGTCAGAGGAAACCTCTCTTCTAAAGTGTGCATTTCAGAATTACCCATGTAAAAATAAAATGGTAGGGAGTTTTGCCCACTATTTAAGAAGCAGTGTATTTAGGTTTACTGCATGAATGGAAATATGTGACTAGAAAATGTGCCAAAACTGATCTGGTTCTTGGTCACTTCATACAGGGATAAAGCTATTTGATTTTGTCAGCCTGATCACTGTGTTATTTTCTTACTGCTACTTTCAAGAAGGAAGAGATAGTGTCTATTGCTATGTTACAATCTGCCAGAAAGTTTTAAGAGAACAATGTTTTTTTAGCTCTGAAGAGTGTTCCAATTGGTTTCCAAGAATTGAAGGGCTGTGAGTTGAAAATGGAGAATGAAAAGGCAGAAAACTGCAGGTCTAAACACAAATGAAGGCCAATAGAAACAGAGGTGAAATTAATGTTGCCTGATGTTTATTTCCCTTTAAAAAAAGGAATCACAGGTCTGTTTAGATACTTACAAAATCAAGTAGTATCCTAATGTCTTACATACTAGAGTATGTTTATATTTTATCTCATAAGTGACTTTTCTACACTTAAGTATGTAACATTACATGTATTATTATCCTGTTTTTATCAGGTACACTTACGATCAGCGCTATGGCAGAGCCCTAGAAATCTACTTAACTCTGAGGCACAAAGATGTCTTCCAGTTGATCCACAAGCACAATCTCTTCAGTTCTATCAGAGACAAAATTGTTCTGCTCATGGATTTTGATTCAGAGGTATAGTGATCCTAATGATTTTATATTCACTTTCCTCTAGATACAATTTAAGAGATTAAAAATAAATTATCTATAGATGATGATGGGGCAGAGAGTGTGTTTGCTGCATCTGGATACATTCTGAAATAAGGAAGATTGTTTGCCTAGATTGCAAAATAATTGACCCAAGGATTATTTTTTACCTTCATATTTCCATTTGTATTTCCTTTCCATTTCCATTTGTCACTCTCAGTGAGAAGAGTGTCCACATTATTTGAGGACATTGTCGTGAGTCTCAAGTCACAACATTGAATGTCATTTCACACAGAGTATCAATTTACCATGTTATTCTTTCTGTATTTTGAATCAAATAATGGTATTAATAAGCCAAAGAAAGGAGATAGTGAATTTTTTTAGGCATATATTAAATGTACTTGCCATTTTCCTTCCACCACAGAAAATTATTCTGCTTCTGAAAGTTTACAAGGTTATTAACCTAAATTCCAAAAATCAGGAAGTGTTTATTCCATGCTGAGTTCTATCTTCTTTCTTTCCAGCTGGCTGTAAAACCTGAGCAAATTAATTTTGGTGTGATCACTGGGAAGATAACCAAGTAGATCTCTTTTTTTCTGTGCAATAGTTGTTTAAGCACTGTAGCTAAAACATGGATCTCTGCTATTGGTGATTGTCTTTAGTATGCCCATTCTAAACTACATGGAGAAAAAAAAAGTATATATATTTTTTAATCCGATAGAATAAGTCATATCTGGAATCTGTGGTTTGGTATATTTTGAAAGTGAACCAAAAGTTTGCTCTTGAAAGAGGAAGCAGAACCTGAATCATGGTGGCCACTTGGCTTACATGGTCCTGGTCTGCTTGATTAATGGTATTGGTCTGCAGGTAGTTTGGAGGAATCCAGTTGTGAGGCAGATTGAATTGTATGTTTCTTACATAGTCATCACCCTACAGTTCCCTTTTGAGATGGAGCAAATGGTATTTTTACATCGTTTGGCAGTGTCTTTTTGTAACTGATGGTGATCCAGTGGGCATACTTTGCCTGCAGTGTAGGTGCACAGCACGTACTGATATTAGTGAGGGAACTTAGGAGAAGTATGCTGGAGGAATACTCTGATGCTGTGCTGTCAGGATATGTGGGTGTTATGTAAATTGCTCTCTGAATTTCTGTTGCTGAAAAGAGTGGGTCTGTCCATCTGGCACCCATCAGTGAATAAGCATAATACTATATAGAGTGTAAGAAAATATGTGTACCTGTTACCTACTTGAATTCTCTTTCTCTGTTGTAGAAAGCAGTAGACATGCTTTTGGATAATGAGGATAAAATTTCTGTGAGTATAACAAGTTAATGGCATGGCAGTCCAATGCTAGCTTTTATTACCTGTCCTTTTTCCAGTCTTGTAAATGTGATGTTTATCACAGATTTGTTTTGTTTCAGATTGACAGAGTTGTTGAAGAATTAGAAAACAGGCCTGAGTTACAGCATGTGGTAAGTATTCCTGTATTCTGTTGATTTCAAGTTGAGCTGCGTAAAATCTTGGCTGGACATACCTTTTACAGATGTGTTTATCTTGTCAAAGTGCACCTGACACTGAAATGCCATTAATGATGAGAGACAAAGTAGCTACTTCCGCCTATTTCCTATTTAGCATGGCCATAGCATCTTCACTGTAGTTAAATGATCTTAAAGTGTGTACCTGTGATAATTTGATAACATAATACAGGTTTATTAACATCTCCTTATAGCATTGTAGGCACTTGTCTTTTCTGGTCAATTACTTCTTGCTTTTATTCCTCCTTTTTCCCTCCCAAAAATGGGATTGGTTGGTGGGTGCAGCTGTAAAATACATTTTGCTGATCCATTGAGAAAGTGAATTGTTTGTTTTCCTGCAGCTGTAACCTCCATACACTGTTAAATTGTTCTTGTTTTTACAGAATTACAGTAGCACTGTAACGCTCTGGCTTCACACTGCTATTCTAAAAGCTCCTCTTTGGTTTGAACATCCTGTCAGTGGAGTGCATAATATGTGACTGTGGATTTGGGCTGTATTAGAGAGGGAAGTTTAACTTGCTGCTGGTTACAGATAGGGCTCAGGTGTTCATCTGGTAAAGAGATGATTTATGGGCTAGAGATCTGATTATGGAAGCAGATACATGAAAAATGCGGTCCACAGCCCAGGAGCCTTGCAAAGGCAACTGACAGACTGTCAGTTTACAGAAGGGATGTACACAGAGGAAGGCAACTAAGATAGTGAATGGTCTAGAGGGGAAGCCATACAAAGAGCAGCTGAGGTCACTTGGTTTTGTTCAGCCTGGAGAAGAAGAGACTGAGAGGAATCCTTGTAGCAATTTACACCTTCTTCACAAGGGAAGCATCAGCAGGCACTAATCTCTTCCCTGATGACCTGTGACAGGACCCAAGGGAACAGCATGAAACTGTGTCAGGGGAGGTTTAGGTTAGATAGTAGGAAAAGCTTCGCCCACTAGAGTGGCTGGGCACTGGAAGGCTTCTACTCTGGGGAAGTGGTCACAGCATCAAGCCTATCTGAGTTCAAGAAGCATTTCAACAATGCTATCAGGAACATGGTGTGGTTCCTGGGGCTGTTATTATTATGTGATTCCCTTCCAACTCAGGAGTTTCTATTATTCCATTAATAATATTGGATAAGTGAGTTTGAATTCTAATTCTTTTTTGATTCCTAGTATTTACACAAGCTTTTCAAAAGAGACCACCATAAAGGCCAACGATATCATGAGAAACAGATCAGCCTTTATGCTGAATATGATCGACCAAACTTACTTCCATTTCTCAGAGACAGCACACATTGCCCACTGGAGAAGGTAAGCCCCAAAAATCCTTGATTTTTATCAAGGTCCTGGTCTGATAGCTCGTAGTCTTGTGAATTTCAAGCCGTGTCTGGTACTGCCCTCTACTGCCAATATGAGGGATCCTTTGAGTTTGTGACCATCACCTGCAGTTTGGTTTGCAGAGCTGATGACACCTGAGACTTTCCTCTCTCAGCTCTCAGGGCAGGAATTGATGGGTATTTTTAATGCAAAAGTTCTGACTACAGTTCTAACTACAACATATCTACTCATAAGTGCTTAGTCTGACTGAACAGTAGGTTATGAGTTCAAGAAATTGACAATCATTTTGCCAAATCTAGGAGCTGTTTATGTTAGATCTTGAAAAACCAGTAGCTGTAACTGTAGTTATTCTATCTTTTTATTGTAAGGCCATAAGTTTCTGATGAACAATATACACAATATACATCACTGAACTAACAGGGCTAAAAGTATTTTGTCTTTGTACTTTGCCTAATACACTTGGGGTTTTACAGAGTACCAGGTTTCCATCTTCTAATATTTTTATATTTTTTTCTATTTTCCTTCCTTGCTCTTTCTTGTCAAAATACAAAATGTATAAAGGTAAGGCCAATCTTGAGTTGTTTCCCCTGCTTGAATGAATGCAAAACAAATGGAAATTCTAAGTTTTCCAGTTTAGATGGCTCAGTATTATATTATCTGTATTTGTTGCTGTTAATAGCTGAGCAAAGCAGACTTTGTGAAAGGGTGCCTATACATATGCAGCTATTGTGACAACACAGTGGAGTAGTTTTCGAGTGTAATATTGAATTTTGTATTTTACATGGTTAACATTCTCAAGAAAACCAGTACTGTTCCTGGTACCTCTCTTGTTTTGCATGGTTTTGTCTAGTGGAAAATACGTTCTTGGGATTAGAGAATTGGGACTTGTTGAAACCATTACCTGAAAATAGTTTGCCTGAGAGGCTTCCAGCCAGAAACTTTCATCTACAATATTGGTTTACTTCTTTTTAACTTTCTGATCCTTAGTTTCTGTCTTATGTATTACTCATGTGATCATAGTTTTATGTATAAAACCTTACCTGCATTTTTTTTTTAGTTTTGAGGCAAATTAATTTTAGTTATTGCGCATCCAGCCTCCTATCTTTAGTGGCAGGTGGTGCAGAAAATTGCTGTGTGAAACTGATGTTCATTGCTTGCACTGCTTTGCTGAAGATATGGGCTATGAGCAAGAATAGGTGAGAGACCATATCATCAGCTTTTGGAAGGTGTGGTGCAATAATCACCAAAGTCAAGAGAGAAGAATGTCAGAAAAAATGTATAATTCTAACTTTAATGTTAAAATTTTAACATCTTTCTGTAAGAAGCTAAGGAAGAGATGAAAAGATACTATTAATTCTGTAATTATACTTCTTACCATACATAACACTTCTTATGACATACAGATCCTTGTTCTAAGAAATTGAAGAGGGGACTAAGAATTTCCCAGTTACCGCTAATTTCAGTTTCTGTTAAGCAAGTTCCAACACAGTGTATAAACTGCAAAAAGCAATTTCTGTTTGAAAAAATCCACTCTTATTATTGCCCTAATGAAATTATAAACTCATCAAGAAGAAACAATTTGTGCTCTCTAGAGCACAATTTTGCTCCTCTCTCTCTTTTAGTCAAGTGCAGTTTAGCAAGCGTTTTGAAAATGAGCTGGAAGAGAAGTAGGAATGTTCCCTATTTTCCTCTAGAGGGAGCATGACAGTCAGGAAATGGCAGTATCTAGAACTACTGAATACCTGGTGCTTTGTAGTTTACCTTTTAAGTGGAGAGGAAAAAGAGGGCTGTCAGCTATGTATATAGCTTATTAGTATTATTCATACCTCCATTCACCTGAAGTATCTACTTGGTAATTCACTTACCTCTAGCCCAAAGTTTGTTGTCCATACCTCTGATCCTTACAGTAACCCTTCTGAAATAATGAGAATTGGAAGGAAACGTTAATTCCTACCTCTTCTTTGATTGTAGCTATACTTTATGTATTTAAAATTTTTATTTCAAAGTGTGAAGGTTGGTGAACAGTTGTCTTTACAGGAATGTTATGAATCTTGAGTTTGCTTTCTGTTTCCAAATTCATGGAAACATTCATTGCATTGTTTATGGCGTACCAGCCCTGCTGATTTCCTGTTACTACAAACCCATTGGTAATCAGTTTGGTAGTTTTTATAATTGTGGTGATTTCCAGCTGCATGCAGATTCTGTAGCTGATAAAGATACTTGGCCCTCAGGTCTTTAAATCAAATTTATGAGAAATGCTTCCTCCATATTCTTTCATATTTGTTATTTTGTATTGTCTTCTTGGTACACAATTTGAAGGGCACTCTCTCTCCTGAAACCATTCTGGTTACCCTGAGGAGATTTTCAGTCTTGTGTTACTAATGTTTTGTATTAACCAACTTTTGGAGGCAGAATAAAGATGTTGCCGGTAGAATTAAAGTCAGATATTGATGTAGTCCAGACTGAAATACCTGTTCTGTCCCCAGATTTATTCAGTCTCAGAATTTTAAAGAGAGTCATGGAAGTCATAGAGTTTCTCTTCTTAATTAGGATAAGAGGACTTGGCAGTGCTTATTAAGGGAGCCGCATTCCTGTCAAAATGAATAATGTAACTTCATGAAAAAAATCACTTCAAGCTTCTTGCAGCATTTATGATCAATAATATTTCATGTTGCATGGTTTCCTTGTATTCTCTTCTCTCTTCTCTTCCCTTACATTCAAGGCTCTTGAGATCTGCCAGCAGAGAAACTTTGTAGAAGAGACAGTCTATCTTCTAAGTAAGTAACGAATAAATCACTGTGATCAATTATAACACTTTTAAACTTGTAATAAAGTTTATAATGTGAAGATATGTTATCTAATATCTAAACCAAATAACACAATTTAGAAAATAAAGCACTGGATCAATATGACGTCTTAATATATTGTGTTACTATGTTTTTCATTTGGTGTTCTTCTGAAGTTCTGGAAGTGTTACAGAGGTTATAGGGAGTAAGTTGAGTGGGGAGGTATTTCTGATGCAATCTCCAAGAGATTAATAATACTGTTCGTTTTGAAAAGAGAGGAGAAATTAAACAAATGTTTTATTCTGAATACATCTCAGAAGCTTAGTATTATTTTTTGCTGAGATGAAAGATTTGCTTATATTGCTATCTTTTTTTTCCCATAAAATTAGTTGTAAATTAACTCCTTCAGCTGGCCAAGAAATCTACCTCTGAATGAGAAGCATTGGAAGACTTATGTATATGTTTATGTATTAGTCATGAACAGAATAGTAAACATGTTTTAAACAATCTCTGGTTCAGTAAAAAGAATATTTTGTGGACCATTTCAGTCCAGTGGAGAGTAGGATTTACTAATGATTTTATTTTAAAAATAGTTCATAATTTCTGCTTCCTCCTCCTGTTTTCTCTTATTTTTCATGGGTGTAAGCTGTGCTATATTTACCGCAAATTAAGAAGGCTCATGTGGGCCCTTGAAGATGGTATTTCATGTTATAATTTACATTTGTACACGTACACACACTGCCCCTCATGTTAGGTGTTGCTGAAGTTCAGAACCCCAAATATGACCTAACACATCTTTGACAAATCCTCCATGTCCCAATCCAGCAACCTGCTCCAAGCACTTGTTCATATTATACTGATTTGCATTCCTACATCTGAATTGACTAGACTTGGTCTTAGTTGAATTAGTTTGAGTCAACTTCACACTTACAAAATTCTTATTGAATGAGCACTGAACACTGATGAGCAATTAGCATTTATAGTCTCTTATTTTTACTTCCAGGCAGAATGGGTAATAGTCGCAGTGCCTTGAAGATGATAATGGAAGAATTGCAAGATGTAGATAAAGCTATTGAATTTGCCAAGGAACAAGATGATGGAGAACTTTGGGAAGATCTCATTTTATATTCTATTGACAAGCCACGTAAGTGGGACTGTTTCTGGGAAGCTTGCATGCGTAGAATGCTTTTGCAAATAAAGGATTGAATTATTCACATGTATGTTACAGAAGGTGTTTTTGTGTGGTCAGGGAGGTGTTATAGTTTGTTCTGTCCTAGTGTGCATAAAAACGTGCAGTAAGGCAGTGTGAGGGTATGATACACAATGACTACTTGGAGGCTTAACATTGAATAAGCTCTGCATAATTCTCTCCTTAATGACAAATCAAGGGGACAGTAGTGCTTTTAGTTTAGCAGAATGAGACTTTATTTTTAGACAGCCTCAAAACACATTCTGCAGGTTTGATGAGTATTTTGTATGTTATCTGCTTCCCTTCAAGATTCTGAACATGAAAAGCCTATACCTTTCTTCCCTCAGTAAAAAAAAACTAATTTATTTTCTTTCTGTGTTACAAAGGTAAGATTGGTTATAATGAGTACATTTTGCCTTTCATTCAATTATATTAATAGCTGCTTCTAGTTAAAGGGTTAGATGGACTCAGAAACATAAGTATCAATGTTGTCAAGGAGGCAGATTTGAGGAAGTTCAAATTACTAAGAAAACAGAATTTTCTTAACTACCTACTCTATTAGTTTTTTTCTTAACTATCTTCTATTAGTTTTTGCATCCTCTTCTGGGGCTTTAAATCAAGACTGTAAAGTCTCTTGGTATTATTTTCTATTATCCCCCTATTTTCTGGGGAATTGAGAGTCTTGTAGAATTAGTGTCAGAATATGTATCTTTTCATCCCTTGGTTGCTAATTTTGAAAGGAAGAAGTGACCAGAATCTGTTAAACTTCAAGAAGAATGGCATTCTCAAATTACACATACTTGAATGCATCACTCAAAGTGATGCTACAGTCAGTGATATCTTTAGAGCAAAAGGAATTCAAAGCATACAGAATTCTCTCAGTAACTCTATGTAGCAGTTTCTGCCTATAAGCAGAGCAGCTCTGATATTCCTTAGTTGTGGGGGTTGAAGAAAACACACAGCATTGAGTCATCATTCTAGTGGGTTTTTTAGCCAGATGCTCTTCAAAGAGCAAAAGAATTATGTCACTCTCACCAATGTTTAGAAACACACTGAAATCAGGCTAGGTGCTTGAAAGTTTGTTTTTAAGCCCTGGAACTGGGAATGGAATTACCACATAAAGTAGTTATTAGTAGTTAAAACTATTTGTTTGAGTGCTCTCTTTACTGAATCAAAATGCATTATTTACTTGTGAGTTTGTGCTGGAGACTCAGTTACCACTTTGCTGAATACACTAGAAGTTCTGTAAGTTGCCAGACTGTATCTTCCTCACCTTCCCAAAGGCTTGTATTCAAGTAAATACAGCTGCAAGAAACATACAAAGATTGTACAAGCGACTTAGTGTTTTCACTTAGTAGAGAACTGTCAAGTAGCTTGTCACCAAAGTATCCTTTAACAGCTATTTTGCTGGATTGTTTTTCTTAATTTCTTTGTCTCTTGGTTTTCACAGCTTTTATTACTGGTTTGTTGAACAATATTGGAACCCATGTCGATCCTATTCTTTTGATCCACCGCATTAAGGAAGGCATGGAGATTCCTAATTTGAGAGACTCACTAGTGAAAATTCTTCAGGACTACAACTTGCAGGTAGATGTTGCATTCTTCATGGGATACTAATTTTCAGGGAGACAGAAAACAGTCTTTGTCAATTAACAGCACAAGAAATTGCTATCGTGATTTGTTCAGTCATTGGTCATGGACACTGTGGGTCAATACAAAACTATGATAGAAATAGTGGAAATTTGCCAAGATTTTTTGATGGCTTCTAGCCCTTCTCAATGTCTTCCATACTGTCATAAGCCTGGTGCGTAAGTAGAACTGGAAGCATCTTGAGTGATTCAGCCTATTTACACTGCCCAGCTGTCCAGTATTGGAAAGTTTCATGACCAGTACTTCTCATTCTATTTCATATGAATGCAGAGGCAGAATGGAGGCAGAATGCAACATGCCCTCACTGAAACATTCATCAGGTGTTAGAGCCATATATTAAGTGTCATACTAACTGAAGGAAGATGAACTTTTAAAATCAAATTCATGTGAATGATGCAGAATCAGTTGGTTGAAGCATTATTCTAATAATGTCGAGGTTGTAGGTTCAATTCCTGTATTATGGACCATTCACTTTAGAGTTGGACTCAGTACTGCTTCCAACTCAGAATATTTTGTGCCTGTGTTGCTGTTTATGCATTTTTTAAAAAATTGACTGTTAACTGGATTATGGAAGTTCTTTCCCCAGCATAATTATACAGGTATGTGCAGTCCCCTGCATGATTGGTTCTGACACATATTTTGTAAGAACTTACAAGAAGCATAATTTTCCATGTTCCCTGTAAGTAGCCAGCAGAGTGTGTTGCATTGCATATTTTAAATCTCCCTGCTGCAAAAGGAGTCCCAAACTTGAATTCTCTGTATGGTGTTCTGCATTACTCTACTGAAAGATACAGATGCCTCCAGTGTGACTATGCAGAGTCCAAGAAAACATAGCTCAGTAGGCAGCTGAAACTCTAATTTTCTGAGCCTCAAATATTTGTTCCCCATCTGCTCTTCATCTTTTAACATTCTGAGCTAATGGATAGACTCAAGGGTTACATTAAGGTCATGGCTGGTATCTTGCTAGGCCAGCAAAAACCCATATCTCACTTCAGGGCAGGGTTTAAGCCTTTCTAAGGCTTTTCCATTATTTTTTTTAATGTGAACTTCAGATTATGACTTTGGCTATTTCAAAGAAGCATTTTACATTTCTTCATCTCCTGACACTTGTAAATAGATATGTTTGCATATAATGTATGTTTTAACATTACTTCATGTTTTGACTTCATCAGGTGAAGTCCAAAGCTACTATCCTTCCAAAATGATGCTAGCTAAATATTCAACAGTTGCATGTTATTCTTGCTGCTGTCAGTATCACCATTGATCCTCCTATTCCTGCATTCTCATGAACTCAAAACGTAATAATTGTTGTGTTTGCAGTCAGACTGAGAAAGTGCTGTAAGCATAGCTTCAGCTTTATATATATACAGAGTACATTGTGTAGCTTCAGACAAAGCTGATGACATCAATATGGTCATATTTTGGGGATGGAAATACAATTTTTTCTATAAATACCTTTAAACACAATTACTTTTGGATTAAAAGCATGTATTTAATCTTGAGAATGATATCTAAAATGATTTAATGTTAGCATTGAAATGATTTGTGGATTTCAAATTAATTGATTTTGAAGTAGAGTTGGATAGCTCTAGGGCTGAAATTTAGATTTCATAGGGATAATAGAAATTAGAGAAGCTTATTGTAATTTGTGCTTGGCTTTCTTGTCTGATAGTAAAAAGTATAGCCCCCAAAAAGGCAATATTTCATTAGAAAAATGTAAGTTATAGTTTAAAATAAGTCTGTTCTTTAAGTGGTATTGGCAACATGAAATGCACTGTTTATGAACAGATGGTATATCTACATTGAAATTTAGAGCTCTTATTGCTCACCAAAGTAGCAAATTTTATAGAGGGAGTCAAATTTTATAGAAGGACTGTTTTTGTTATTGCTGCCTCATTAGCTGTTTTAAAGCCAGTCTTCAGTGTGTTTGTATGATGTCTGGTCATACCTCTGCACATGTTGTGTAGGTTCATGCTGAGAAGTCACTGGCCTTTATTTTGGCCTGGCACAACTCTGGCTTTTGGTAGAAACCTCTTGATGTGTAGCAAGAAGCATACCAGACATTTTGAACACACTCAGAAATACAAATTTCACTGGATTTTCTATATCTTCATTTTTTTGGATCTTGAGCTTTATATGCATGTAAGTTTTATTATTCTCATTTTCAGAGGCAAAAAGAATCTTGTGCTAGGATCCATGAAGGAGGAGCGCAGGTGGAAAGAGAACCTGCTGCTTGACTTGCAAGTCACTGCCTAACACAAAAATTATGCTGGTCTTTTCATAATGATGGCTTCCCAAAAGATGTTACTGCTGTGCCATTATATTGTTTAATTGTGGGCTCCTTTTTCAAGCCCTGATAAGATTGTTTCATACCTATGTAAGCATGCAAATGCAAATTCCGTATTATGCTTTTGAGTTTCCGTACCAGTAAACTTTACTTAGGTGTGATGTGAAATATGGGTAGGAGTTAAAAGCAGTGCCTTTGACAGACTTTGTCTTTTTGAGAACAGTCCTTTCCATCCCAGCAAAACCAAGTAAATCAAACTGAGTGGCTACTAAAGTATGTGTGACTCACAGTGTGCATTAGAGAATCCAACAAGAAAGTGAACTAATGCAAATCAAATTTTGTTGTATTTTTTTTTAATATGGACTTTTCCTTGAATAATTTTTAATAATTTTGGCAGATTGTAGGCTGATGGCTTCACTTTAAAAAATTGCCATCCACTAGATTAAATGCTGCCACTGCTCTATATGCTACTCTAAGCTCACCTCTGCTTTGTGGTTAACCTTTGAAATATGGTCACTACCAACCAACCAAGCATAGCTCTAAAAACAGAATTAGATATTGTTATGGGCAAAAATAAGACATAGATCATGTATGACTTTATTCTGCAATTCTGCCATGAGCTTAAAACTAAGCACACTTCGAACTATTCCCTTAAGCAGGAAAATATTGAAGTGTTTTTTTGAATTGGGATTAAACCTTGAAGTGATTTTTTTTTGTTTTTTTACCCATGCAGATAATTTGTTTTGGTTTTATCTTTGACATTGCTTGAGTTAATGTATTAAAACCATAGTACCTAATCAAATGACCCTGATTGTAATGATGAAAGTTTATTTATTGCTGAATGCTGATTTTAGTGTATATGCAGTAACATATCACAAGCAAAAAGTTATGGAGACAAGGACAAAGTTATAGTTCTTTGAATTTTAATAGGAGCATTTAACAAATAAAGTGTAGTCTGAAGCTTTTATATTGCTTCTGAGATCTACTATGTTGCTGTCATGAATTTGTAGATAAATTAGACAGGTTATCTTAAAGAAAAAACTGCCTACTTATTAGAAATTACACATTCCTAGTGCTTTTTTTACATGTAAATGAGTCACCATTCTCTAGGTTTCTAAAGCATTTTATCACACATCTCCCAAAGAAGTCTGATAGTAAAATCTCCTTATTTGTAGACTTGTGAGTTAATTATAAGCCTGTTGTGCTTTCCAAATGTATAAAATAGGTGTCTTTTCAGCTTTGGTTTGTATCTGAATGAAATGTAGGAATTACTTGTGGTATTGGAAGAGGCTTAAATACCTCCCTTGTTTTAGAAAGAAATGCTTCATTTTTCACCCTTTCTGTGTAATTTGTTAGAATAAATCCTTGAAAGATTTTGGTTTTCTAAGACTTCTTTTCTCCTAGCTTTAAAATACAGAAGCAATTTGTTTAGATGTAGTACATAGAGATTTTGTGGTTTAGCCATTTTACTCAAACATTGACTTACTAAGTTTGCACTTTGAACCTGCAGTAACTCTGATGGGTAGCAGACATTGATCCATTCACAGAATTCACATCTATCCATTCATAACAGAGTTTATGAACAAGCAGAACCCAGTGATAATCCAATGAATGCTGCTTGAAACATCACCTGGAAAAATTGTTAGGTTATGTTCCTGAACATAACTAAAAATGCTGTTGAGACACCTTGGAGGCATTAGAGGGTAGGTGGCAGCTTGCACAGGGGGACATGTGCCTTTTGGTTGTAAAGACTAAAAATTATGTGGTTTTAATTGTGGCAGTGATGCTGTCTGAAAGAATTTGAGAAACTTGGACTTTTTTGTGGGTTAAGCTGAATTGAGGCCTGAATTAATTCCAATAGTTTTGAGTAACCCTTTCAAATTAACTCCATACTGCAGTGCTTTTCTTTAAAGATAATGTTAGACTTGATTTACCAATGTAAGTCAAGGCTGTTTTAATCAAATAGAATAGTTTATTATCTTCCCTAATGTAGCCAGAAAACAAACATTTTTGCTATAACAGTTTTGGTTTTATCAGTTTTCATTAATTTCATGAAATGCATTATTTCTGCCTAAAACTTATTTCTGTAGGTGCATGAGGCTGTCATGCTTTTGTTCACAATTACATGCCTTTAAAGGATAAATAAAATTCAGTTTCACCCTCAGTTCTGTTTCTTTTTGGAAAGTGGTTTCCAAGATCACAGATTTATGCCCATTGTCAGTTTTAACTAGTTCAACTTAACCTTAGGGTCCACAGTTACCTATTTCTCTCCCCTTTAATGAAGCTCCCCCTCTCTTGACTCAAATTCCCTTTCCTTTGCTTTCTGTAACTCTTAAATTATCCATTTTTGAGGTCTTCCAATAAATTTCTACAGAAGTGTTGAGAATTTTTTTACCATGAGAATAGACATTTTGCATTCTGCATTGTGATTTTTCCTTTTATATAATAATGGCTACTTATTGTATTCCATTTCTAGCAAAATAAGGTCTGACAGTCATTAAATGTGGTATGGAAAGATCTCAATGCTGTTTAAATAATGGGAGAAAGTGCGTATTTCTTAAAATACATGTTTTATCAGATATTTCTGTTACTCCTGGGTTTTAAGGCATCAAACAGGATTGAGGTTTTCCAGTGAGCTAGTGATGTCTATTGTTTCCCTCATCATTCTTCTTTCTTTTTAATTAATTTTTTCTATTAGCACACTGTATTTTAATTAAGAAATGCTAGGACACAGTTCCATATTCCCATTGTATCTTTGTTCTGCTTCTTTCATTTAAGATGGTCACAGCACCAAGGTTGTCAGAGTTCAAGAAACATTTAGACAATGTTCAGAGGCACTTGGTATGATTCTTGGTGCTGTTCTCTGTAGGGCTGGGAGTTGGACTAGACACAGTCTCATTCAGTTGTCCTTGCTAAAAGTTTCATGTATTTTTTTCAAACCTAGCAACATTTTTCTTTATTTAGAACAAAATTTTTCATTCTTTGTTGCCTTTGGATAAAGTTGGCAAGAGAAAAACATAGCCAGATTGTTCCTGAGATTATCAACAGATAAAAATGATTCATTTTCTAAGTGCTTGCCCTGTAAATCTGCATTTAGTTGCTGGTGCTCTGAAATGTTTTATAGCTCAATGTTTCCAAAAATGGAAAAGTGTGATATACCTGTTGATATGCCCAATTTGAAATACTCACAGCGTTACTCAGTGTTAATTTTTTTTAATGTACTTCGGATTTGCAATCTTATCTGCTTATCATTCTTAAAAGTATGTCCTTATTACTTCAGAATGTGTATATGAAAAGGTAGAGTTTTGGACAGTGTCCATCTGGCTGTAAAATCCATTATTGTATTTATTCTTAGGTATTTGCATTAGCTGTATTTTGCACTGTCTTAGAATGCTCCTGTAATACAAATGATCAGAAGAAAGGAATAACATTGCTTCTTTATACCCATCTTTTGGTAGGGTTGGTCACATAATAATTGACTGTGAGTATCTTTGGAAAGCAGTTTTCAAAGGAATTGTTGTCTTGGAAAACAAATTTCCAAACATTAGTTTGGGAGGAGGAAGAAAAAATTCCAAAGTACTTAATGGGGTTTGTCATCTTTCCATACTTGCTGCATTAAGTATTTTGAAATAAGTTTCTGTGTAATTGTTATGCCCTTGCTTTTTCTGTGTTTCAAAACCATTTCAGGCAATGATACGTTGATCTAATGAAAAATACCAAATAAGTCAAAAGGGAGCTGAGACTTTTGCTGAAGAGGAATGAACTAGGGACCTTTTGTTAGTTGCATGGACATTTAGTACTGCTTATTAAATGACTTCTCAGCAGGATATCTGTGTGAACAAAATATATTTTGAATTGCAGTGTTTATGAATGTCTTATGATTATCAAGTACCTTTTCTGAAGAAGACAAAAAAGATACAGGAAGAAGAATTTTGAAATGGTTTGGGAATTAATTCTGAAGGGCACTGTATAAGTTCCTCTCTGTTGTAATTTGTTAACACCATCTCATAGAAAGACATTCATACTTATGATAATACTATCTCTTTAAAGAATTCTATTTCTTGATGTTTGATTTTGTTTTGTGGGGTTTTGGGGTCTTTTTGGGGGCTTTTCATTTAGATAGAGGTGATGGCAACACAAGGTTCCTCCTTTGCCTCCTTTATAATACCTTGAAAAGTTTTAAACATTTCTTGCACTCACTTTGGCAGCAAAAACAGAATGGTGACTTGTCAATATCGTTGATATGCCCATCTGTTAAACAACTGCTGTCTTTTATGTTCTTTGCACCAACAGATCTTGCTGCGGGAAGGTTGCAAAAAGATACTCGTTGCTGATTCTCTTTCTTTATTGAAGAAAATGCATCGAACTCAGATGAAGGGTGTTCTAGTGGATGGTGGGTACAGAGGAAACATGATGACTTTCAAGATTTTAATGACTATTTTATATAGACTGTTTATATACCTCCTGGCTGTCTGCTTTGGAAACTGGACAAAAGCCTACATTTTTTACCTTATCTGTAGAGTGTAGTAGGATACATGATGCTTTTCCCCTTTGCAAAGGAACTATTTGTATCTCAAAAACTACAAGACCCAGCATGCAGCTGTTTCTCTTGATCACTCTCTGCATAGCCAGTAATGTATTTTGTCCTGCAGTTTCTCTGTAAAGGCAAAAATGCTGTTTAATGTTAACATGGACAGTCAGATGGTAATAATCTGCAACCAAAGCAAAAGATACAAGAAGATTGTCAGAAACAGTTGAAAATATTTTGCAAGGTGCTAATGATGCATGTGAGCAGCACTGTAATTCACACCAGCTGAGTGTTAATAGCAAGAGACAAAAGCTGACAGGACAGAGTACCAGAGCTTCTGCTCCCAAATGTTGCAGAGATACAGCTACCCATCCTGTGTTCCTTGTTTCAGTCTGCCTTTTGTCTCTTCAGCACTGATCCTAAACATCCTCAATTCTGCAGTTCTACCGTCATCAAATATTTATTTATTGTGTTGTTATTAGAAATGCTATTTCAGTATTGCTCTTCAATTTTTAATAGATTCTATTAGGCATCTTAAGTAAATGCTTTAGGACCAAGCTCCATTTCTGTAATAGCAGTATGTTCATACTTACTTTATTAAAAAGTAAACATGGAGTTTGTTAACAAAGCTTAATTTTCCTTTGTTTTTCAGAGGAGAATATCTGTGAATCATGTCTGTCTCCAATACTTCCTTCAGGTAGGATGCTTTTCGAGGAAATAAAAAAAAAAGAGGTTGTAATTTTTTTTAGTAGTATTTTAAGAGGAACTACTCTTTGCTTTTATTCGTAAAAATGTATAATATCTCTCAGTGATTGCTGTATAAATTTCAATCTCCTATGCAAAGCTTGCTTTTGAATTCTGACATGGGAGTGGAGTCTAACTGAACATTTTTTGTTGCAGTAAACCCAGATATTCTTTCTTATTCAACTTTAACTTCCTTGTTTTCTGTTTTGAATACATGGAATTCAAGGCAACTTTTCATTCCCCCAACATACATATTCTCAAAGATTATTAGAACCACAAACCTAAGCCACCAAATCTTGTCCACCTCTGTTCGATTATTCACACTGAACTTGTAGACTGTAAAATTTTATGGAATGTATTTTTTGTCTGAATGGTGGTGAGTTCTTGGCTTCTGTCATGGGTGCCACATTTGCAATATCTTAAAACTGACTAGCATTTTTGCAACATCTTAAAACCTTCTAAAGTTAGTTTTGAAACTAGAAATTCAGGATGTTACTTCAGAGATGCACATTCTTCAAGACAATTGTAGTCCAGAAATACCAATGTAGTTGTTGGGTGCCTTAAAAAGAAACAGTTTTACTAAGAGACTATCTGTCATGGCCTGTTAAAGCAAGAATATGTAAGACGAAGCATATGTGCAGACATTTGTTTGTTTTCTAAGTGTTAATAGCCTGATAGAATCACTTAAATTTTATCTAGTTTCTACCATTTTTCACTTAAATAAATAAATAAAAACAACTATACTGGGATCATATGCAGCAATATACTGACAAGGAGAATCTGGCAGAGTTGAATGAGCTATTGCTTTGAAGTATGTGTGTTGAGGAAAAAAGAGCCAAAGTAGAATGCGAATGATACTCGTGAGTGAGATGGTTATTCTTTAGATATGTAGATGTTATATTTAGAGTTCTAATTTGGCTAAATATTCATATGGGAATGAAAACTCAAATCATGTACCTTGGCAGCTTGTTGCCAAATTTCAGGATCATGGCATGCAGTATAGGCTCTAGAAGTGCTCAGTGTTCTGGTTCTTTTCACACTAGTGCAAGAAATTTTCTGCTAACTTTTCTTCAAAGCAGCTGCATTATTTGATGGTAGCTTACTCTTCTCCCTGCCCAAATTTAGCATGTAGCATATCTTGAGATTAAAAATTCCTAAGCCACAGAAAAAAGTTTTTTTGTAACTCCATCACTGGCACACATTTCCTGAAACCGTCACTCTTAATGGTTGCTATGTATGAGCCAGAATAATTTGGAAATTATTTTGAGAGGTGTTACTTGAAGTTTCTCTGTGTATAATAGAATGTGAGCATATATTGCTGTAGCCACTAAATTATTTGTTTCATTGCCCTGTTGAATTAATTTATTTTTCTGTTTCCCAGATGCCTCCAAGTCCTTCAGTGTGGTAGTGTTCCACTGCAGACACATGTTTCACAGAGAGTGCCTCCCTGTATCTAACACAGTAAGGAATTAGCTTAGTATGTCTGACACCTTTGCCAAAAATAAAGTCACACATTTTCTTTTGTCAGCTCTGGAGAAAGGCATGGGTCTATAAGGAATTGCATGATTATAGTAATAACTTGTGATGATACCACATAGTAGTAGGTGACCAAGGAAAGGGAGTTTAAGGATACTGCAACTAAAGTTCATCCAATGTAGAAAGAAATCACTGCTATTTGAACAGTATTTTATCACTTTCTGCAATCTGAATATGTAATGCAACTCTGAGACATACAGGGAATACAGTCTGTCTAATTTTTTAGTTCTTTTTCATTCCAGCTTTAACTAAGCATACTCAAAGATGAGAATAAAGATATTTTCTCAAGTGAGCCTTATTAAATGATTCTGACCTGGAAGACAGAAATCAATCATTTCAGAGTAAATATTTAAATATCTTTGTAATCATCCTTATGGTCAAAACATTTTTTTCTTTGTAAGTTGTTTGGGGGGTTGGTTTGTTTGTTCAATTAATACAAAGGAAAAATAACTTCTAGATATAACAGGGTTCAAATATAGGAACGAAAGCATTTGAATGGTAACAAAATCACATAGAAAAATAAATTTAAGTCTTTAAGATTCTTTATCTATATCTGAAAATTAACATGTAGTGAAAAAATAGCTTTAGTGAATCACTTCATCTGTAAGTAAACAGTGCTTGTAGCCATATGGTACAACATGGATACCTAAATATGTTAGGAAAAGCTGAATGTATTAGATGATTTGTACAAGAAAGCACAACAATTAGTAAATATTTCTTCAATATTTGCCACAAATTTTATTGTGAGCAATAATGTAGAATTTGTCTAGCATTCTCAATTTTCTGGGGCAGGTGACTGGTTAGGTGGGATTTTTAAATGTTACATAGCTATTATATATATTCATAGACAGTATGTATAAATACAGGGATGTGTTCATGTAACAGAGCCAAATTTCTCCTGTTACACTATATTATGTGGCCTTAGGTGATCAGTCGTGTTACTGATATTTGGTTATTGGTGACAGACTGAAATGAAAACAGTGCATGCACAAAATGCACACAGAGCTAAACACAGAGTAACGATAAACACATCTTTGATGTCAAATGACAGTATTTGGGCCCTGATCTCAATTGTTGGAAATCTGTGCAGCATTACCCAAAGACAGAGCTGTTACTAAGGCATCCAGTGGTTATTGGAGCTGACCAAGTGACTTTACTCTCATCTTTGTATATGAAGATAATCAGTGCTGTTTTTCACTGTGTACTTTTCATTTTGTTGTGAGGAAGTTTGACATTACTCTTCTGGCAGGTGGTGGTAATACCCTTGGAGTGAGTGGTGAGTTGTGCTGCCCTCTGACATCAGAACAGCCTGCTTTACTATGGTTTTCTATATTGTCTTCCCTCACCTATCCATGACTGTGTTGATTTGGAACAGTCTGACTGAGCAGTAATGTTGAGAAGGGCATTAGCACTTTTCATTTATCTTTACACATTCTGATGTGCTACATTTCTCTGAGAGATTCCTGTTTTCTTTTTTGATTTAGGTATCTTCTGTCCAGTTCTGCAATATATGCAGTGCCAAACACAGGGGGCCAGGAAGTGCAGTCCTGGAGATGAAGAAATAGCAGTGCCCTAGTTCTCCATGTCAGTCAGCGACACCAAATCTGTTAGGGCCTTGCAGAGCCACTGTAATTTTCCATTTCTGTATATAATTTTGATTGTGATTTAAAAGTAGTTCCTGTATTTTATCCTGTTCATTGAATATTTTGGGTAATGAGAAAATGTGAAGATCTTTCTCTGGCAAGTCTTTGTTATGCAACTCATATGTCATGGTTCCTTTGCTCAGCTTGTTATTTCATTCTGGAACAGAAAAAAAAATAAATAAAATGGGAAGAAAATCCCACGCAATTTAGAGATTTGTGTTTGCTGTCAGTTAATGTGCTTTACAGTTTGGAATCACATCAGGCTTATGGTTGGATATTGTAAAGAAAAATGTAATTCCATTAATTCAGCTCGCCAGACTACTTCAGTCCTGATTTAGTCTATTAGGGACCTGTTTACCTTGAGACCCATAGGAGTCTGACTCCTTTCAGTGGAATTGCTACAGAACTTGAAGTTGTGTGCCAACTCATATCTTCACTTAAGAAATTTGTTAACTGAATTCCATACACTGGCAGTTTGCCTTGGTTGCATATTCATAGTTCATTGGAACTGGTTAATTTCTCAATTCATCTTCACAATGCAGTAGTTTAAAGTGAGCTTTTCTCATGTTCAACTCCTCCAGAAACTTTATTTTTAGAAGTTAGCAGTAGGCCTTTACGCTTATTTTATGTGTGGTTGAAGTGCATGGTTTCATTTAAGTGCAAGGGAAAAATATGTATCTGACCTTTCAAAGGTAAAATCTCTAGAAGTTTCTTATGGCCTTAGCAATTTAACAGCTGAGTTAAATAAGTCAATTGGACATTAATAAAACAATATTTTTCATTTGAACTGCATTCTGTTTTGTTGATCCAAATCAAATGATCTTTGAGAATGTCTTCGCAGTAATGCAATCTGTTTATAATATATACTGACTAAATTCAGTATAAGTATCTTTTCCTTAAGAAAAGTTATGAGAACTCCCAACTTACTTTTCTGCTTTTTAATAACTTGAGTTTGAAAGTAACAATATATTGTTTTGCCATCAAATTGTACTGTTTGAACAAGTTAACATACTACCATGGTAAGGTCTAAAACAATGGTATATACTGCAGTCTATCTGTAAAACTGGAAAATGCGGTACCTCTAATACAATACCTTCTATATCTTATTTCCATGTAAGTACACCTTAAAATAATTTCTACTATGGAAACTTGGGTTTCTAGTTTATGTATATTCATAATATTATTTTAAAATCCTCTGGGCAATTGGTGTAGCAATCTGAAGAATGATTTTTTTTGTTGTCCATTGTGGAGATCTGTATAATACTGGAATAAAAATGTATTTAGAAATGCTAAGATTTACTCTGCATTATTACATAGGCAAAACAATCATTAAAAAGAATAGATCTTTCAAAACCATGCTTATCTTTTGTGTTAATACAGACAGTTGAGGAAAAAAAATTGTACAAATTATTAATGAACATAGATTAGGTGGAATAACAGAAGGGTAAGAAGTTTGTAGTGCAGGGAATAGTCTGCATACATCAAGCTTCACAAATAAGAATTAGTGCCTGGCTTTGCAGCTGTTTGTTTTCAGCAGCTACTACATATTCTCAGGTATTTTGTTCCTTTATCCATTCTTCACTACACTGATCAGGAAAGCTACTTTGATTCCTAGTAAACTAAATATTCCAGTGACTTCAAGGGTTGTTTCACCATGATGTTTGAGTTATTGCATGTCATGCCTGTAAAAGTTTAAAAACTTTTTTAAACCCCCATTGTTCAGTAGATTTAAGCAGATTTTCTATATTCTATCCTAAGAATGCAATAAGTTGTCAGCTTACAGGAGGAAAAAGTCAAACTGCTTCTATACCTTTATATGGAAAAGTGTCCTGTAGATTAGAGTTGTAGGATAATTTTAAGAAGGTATATTTTTTTACTTCAGCTTGGCCATAAATTCCCTAAAGCATTTGAGCATTCTGTGACTCAGTTTGCTAGTCTGCTATCATCAGCAATCATACTGCATGATATCCTGGCACATTCTTTGCATTATGCAAGTAATTTTAAATCACTGTATGAAATTCTAATCAACATCTTCTCTAAGTTCAAATCTTCTTTCATTTGGGCTTCAGGGACTACCCTTTTCATGTTCCTGAAGTCTAAATTTGCTCATTAAGATTCAGCAGGAAATGTGCAGACTTGACTTTGATATTCTTCTTCCTAAGAAGCCTTTACATCATAGAAAACATCTGATATTAGAGTCTAAAATATTCAGCTACCCAAGAGCTTTTCTTCTGAAGAAGAATTTTGCGTAAGAATTAACTGTAAAGTTGAAGAGCCTATCAGAAAAGTACAGAGTAGCACTTAATCAGTTTCAGTTGCACTTACTTCAGATGTCAAAGTTCTTGTGCTTCTAAGGTAAACTTAAAAGCTGTTTTTTCTCTGATACATCCAGTTCTGTGTGAGTTCTTGACCAGTAAAGGTAACTGAAAGGATTTGTGATGGATCAAGTAAGTAGAAATTGGTTTGTCATATCAAAACAGAGAAAACTATTTGGGCTTGTAAGCAGGACATCTCACCCCCCATAAGAACTTAAGTTGTTAACCAGTCAGGCAACTTAAACAGGAGTAGCTGGCTTGTAGAGAGTTATTTCCATGCCTTGGAGTTAATACTGGTCTTCCAACTGCCAATAAACATCTCGCTGTTGAAGTGAGAGCTGGCAAGATAGGTTGTATTTCTGACTGACAGACACTCTCACTTTTCAAACTACAAAAGCCACACCAAACTTTCACAATGCAGAAATCTTCTATACATTTTCCTGGATATGTGGGGAGCTTTTCCCTTGAGTAGGGATGCCTGCTTTGCTTTGCAGTTACTTTCCAGGGCTTACATGAAGGAATCTGTGTACATTACTGTCATTTCAGCTGTAAGTTACATTCAACTCCTAATCAATACTATTTTTTTTGGTAGCTTTATTATAGATACCTTGATAGAGTGCAGTGTTATGCTGTAATCTATTAGTAGTTCTTTACTTTTATACTTTGTATAAGTAATTCTGATCAAGATCTTTATCTGTTGTCTCTTGTCTGTTTAATAAATAATTCATTTTTATAAATAGACCTGATCTGCCATCCTTAGAACTTGCCAAAGTGATTTCTTCAATTTAAACTGTTCTCAAAATCTGAGCCTAAGGCAGGGCTTGTTTAAAGCTCCTACTCATCCTGTGACAGGCTAAAGTGAGTCTTCAGATGATTTTTCTCATCTTTCCTTGTTTTATTATTTTAAACCCTCAATGCTGTGTGATAGGCTTGGTGAAAATGTTGGGCTACACTGAAGACTTTAGGGCACCCAAGAGAGTGGGGAGCTAGAGGTGCCTGCTGAGCATGAGGCTGTTTAGTCCTGCTGAGAGCTCAGTTAAAGTGGACAGCATCATGATAAAGGTTGACTTCTGCAAAAGGAGGAGTTAATTGTTCTACTGGATCAGCAATGTATTGAATCTACTGTGTGTGGCAATTGGGCAAGAGTCTGCTGCCCACCCTGACATGATTCAGTGGGTCAGTTAATACTTCAAGAAGTTGTTCTATAGACAAAGGTATGTTTTCTAAAGCTGCACTACAGGAATCATTAAACACATTGTGTATTGTGTCTTGGAGCATAAGTTCAGTTTCTGACACTGATCTTGTGTTATGGAGGAAGAGCAAAGACAAAATGAGTTGCTTCCCCATTTTTGGATGCATATCATATGGAATATGGTATCATATTCCATACATTTTGGCTGACAATTGGGTGGAGATGTCAGTATTCTGTATAGAATGCACAGGTTGGTCTAGGAAATTTTCATCATGGGAAATTTAATCACTTTCTATCCTAGGCTTAATATTTATTCAGCTGGAGTCTTTTAAGCAGCACTGTTTGATTATTTTGCTATTGAGTAGACTACCACAGTGGTTTTCTGCTTGCTGAGGAGAATTCCTGATTGCAATACAAGGCAGCTGGAAGTGCAAATGATCTCGTGAATAAAAATATCACAGTGGATTTCTTGCTTCTGAAATGATGTAATTTAGCATTCAAATACTGTGTGTATGCAGTCACCTTATAAATACAGTGCCATCTCTGCAGGTTGGTTGCCCTGGTCCTTGTCTATGTTATTTGACAGCAGTTTGGAAAACTACTTGCAGAAAAATTCTTACCTAATGCTGAACAAGGGTGATTATCTAAATGAGGAAGACTCTCTCTGAGAAGCTAGTTTCCCGTCTCCTGTTGTACAGTTCTGGCCTCTTATTCAGGCAGTATAATTTTACCCCTGTCTGTAAATGCTAGGCATAACATCAGGGTCTCTTCCTCTCTGGAAAGCTTCCTCCTCAAGTGCATCTTTGCCAAAATCTTTCTGTAAATCAACTGTTGTACTTTCAAAACAACTTTAACAAGACTAGTAAAAAAATAAGTATCTCATGTAGGGAATGACTCTTTAATTATATACTTTTGGGACTGTCTACTTATTCTACTGTGCCATGAAAGATTAATTTACTTTTGGAATTAGTAATATCCATAGATTATGTTTTTTCTGTTCAAGACAATGTGTGCTTTCTTTTACTGTAATCAAATATTAAATTATGCAGAAAAAAGGATATCTGAAGTGTCTGAGGCATCAAATGTAGAAGAGAATAGAGTATGTGAGAAGTTCTAAGAGAAGTTAATGAGTCATAGTGGGAACAACCTAAATTTAGCCTTTAAGTCCTTCCATAAATGGGGATCATAATAAATTTTTGCAGTCGAGCAGGTCTTAGGGGTTCTGGTAAGTTCTGATGGCAACATTCACCCAGGAGTCTGTAATGTGAATGGACAAGGCTGCCAGTGGCATCTGCTCCTGGATTGTGCTTAGGACCAGTCATGGTGCAGGAGTCAGAAATGTGCTGAGAGGAGGCTGATACCCCTCCAGCCTGAAGGAGCTGCCAGAGGTAGAGATGTAGTAGTATAGTTAAGGGCTAGGATGAGGCAGGAGCTGCAGAGGGCACTTGAATTGTTGGTAGGGATTTTCTGCCCTTGCTTTTAGTCAGATCCCAGTAAAATTTAAATCCAGTTAGATTGGCAAGGTCATGATGTCTTGGTGTCTGATAGCTGTAACGTCACATTTAGCAAGATGTCCTCTGGATGACATGTTCCAAACAGATTTATCTGTTTCTGGTGAGAACGATGGATGGGAGCCACAATAAATAAGTTTTGATTTTTTTAAAAATCAGTTTAAGTGAAACTTTTTAAAAATGAGTAATTGTCTTACATTTTATCATGTTGTGTTTGCAATAATGTAGTAGCATGGGAAGTTGCAGATGATGACAGTGTTTTTATTGTGTAGGACCCATTCAGTAGCAGCTATTTTTGCACATGCTGGCATAAGAAACACTGAAGCACTTTTCAGTGTGTCCAACTCTAGTTTGTCTCTATTGAGTCTTCATCTGGAATTTTTTCAAAGTCATGAAGATCTTTAGTTAAGCAAAGCCAAAGCTGGGAAGCATTTTCGCTATGTCTCCGTGAACATTTCAGCCAATAATATATTTCTGGCATAGTTTAGTTCTATGCTGTGCAGACTTTTATTCTCTCTGCAGTATCAAAAGACTTTCTAGTGATGTGCTAAGAGAAGTATGTTCCATTTTCATTATTTCATAATCATTCTTTCTGTCTTTTCTCCTTCTCCCCTTCATTCACTGCTCACCACTCCCCTCTGAATATATGCATTGGAGCGAGTGCTTATTTTTGAATTGTGTACCGACTCTCAGTCATTATCTGCAAACACATTGTGCTGTGTATGTGTTAAAGTATGTGCTCTGTATATCCTGTGAAAGCTACCCAGGTCTTTGTTCATCCTTAGTTCCTGGAGGAGTTCATTATCTGGTATCAAGCTAAGGAAAACATTTTCCTTCAGAGGCAAGCTTTCCAGGACATTTTCAGTGGTGCAAAGAGAATCACTGAGATAGGAAGGGACCTTTCAGATAATCTAATCCAGTTCCCCTGCTCCATGACTGGTTGCTCCATGACCTTCCCAGGGATTGATTGCGTCTAACAAGCCTGTGGTTTTCCAGATCCTACTTCTTGTTATCCAAAGTTGATTACATGGTTAAAATGAGAACTAGAACCTTGAAGAGTGAGATTTACTTTTTTCCAATCTTCAGAAACCTCTTCTGATTGATTGACATGGTCTTTCAAAGTTAATCAAGAACATCTTTTTAATGCTGTAGGCTTTGTGCCTGGGTATTTTATGGTGTTGCAGTCTAATCCAGAGATGAAGCCAATATAAACTACTGTTTGGCTAAATCATGTTACCCTGCCAAAGAGGACATACTTCTAAATGCTTGGCTTGG